TTCGTCCAAACAAGAAGTTGGACTACAAGACCCTCGGACCTTTCAAGATCACCGAGGTCGTGGGAGATGCGAAGATGGCGCGGAGATTGGAGCTTCCCGAGCAACTGCGGCGAGTACACCCTGTGTTCCATGTCTCAATGCTGATTCCGTACAAGCGGAACGAGCTGCCCTCGCGGGAACAGGTCCCGCCTCCTCCTCCAGAGGTGGTGGATAACGGTGACACCCAGTGGGTAGTATCTGAGATCGTAGATTCGCGGAGCAGGAAGCGGGGACGTCAGACGCGTACCCAATATCTGGTGCGGTGGGAAGGTTACGAGGATGAGTATAACGAGTGGGTACATCCGGAGGACTTCCACCATGACGACCAAGCGGTGCTGGATTATCATCGACGATACCCAAACAAGCCGAAACCTGCTTTCGAGGAGTACGGCGATGCCTAGGGCGTTCGGAGTTCGCCCTTAACGGGGGGATCCTGTTATAGCGACGCGCGTGTACGCCGGACTCGAGTCGTACCAACTCCGGCGGAGTTGTTCAAGGAGCATATCGTATTGTATCACTTTGTATCATCATTGTAGTATATAGTCTTTCATCTGTTATTACATCTATATACCCTAGTCCTACGTTCTACATTACTCCCGGATATGTCCTCGCAGGTATACATCGAGCCGGTCTTCCCTGGAGCCTTCTCGACGCCTAACAGGTAGACTCTAAATGGGTCTTCAAGACAAAGCTCAATGAGAGAGGAGAGGTCATCAAGTACAAGGCCAGGATAGTGGCCAGAGGCTTCACTCAGGAGTATGGGGTCAACTACTTTGACACATACAGTCCTGTGGCCAGACTCACCTCACTCAGGATACTGCTCACCATTGTGGCAGCTCAGGACTTGGAGCTCTACCAGATGGATGCAGTTACTGCTTTCCTCAATGGCACATTGGAGGAAGACATCTACATGGACTTTCCAGATGGATACCAAAGACAGGACAAGAAGTCAACAGGACTCAAGCTTGTCAGATCCCTCTATGGTCTCAAGCAACCACCCAGGGTATGGTGGCAACTCATCAGCTCTGTTACGGCGGAAGTCGCTAATTGAGATAGGTCCTAAGTCGTAAGGCGTAGGCTGCTTATAGGTAGATCGCAGGTAGTCGGGAGAATGTCGCGAGTCCGCTTAGATGAAGCGGGTTCAGGTGCGGGATACGAATCCAGAGATATATGGATAAGGAAGGTGATCACTCGGTGTGAGGTACCGGATTCGGTCTAAGGTAAAACGATGAAGCGTAGATACTTAGCGACGTCCTTGGGTTATAACCTCTCCGCAACACGTCTTGAAGATGTTGTAACAAGTCAGATAGGCGTGTATTGAATGTGATATCGGAACTTGACCTCTAACTATTACAGAGCGTCCTCTATCGAATTCGGTCAAGTTCCTCTAGCTATTTATACGGAGACGAGTGAGGAGAAGAGAGTGGCAAAAGCTGAAAAGATCCCAGAACCATAGAACGACGAGAGATGGCGAAACTAGAAGAGCGAGATGGCAAACAAGCGAATCCTGTCGAGAGCAACCGGATTCGGTAGAGGAGGCGAGTTTGTGTTTGCATTGTCCCTAGGTACGTCGAGTAAGGTTGTCGAGGTCCTGAGTAAGGTTGTCGTGTACCTCGAGGTCCCTGTACCTGTTTGTGATATGCGTCGGGAAGGTTTGTTGTTTCGGTGAATCGTGAAGGCGAATGGTAGGGACGACCGAATCTGCTCTGAGGGAATGGGGTTCGCCTCGTAGAGCCGGACTTAGGTGTATGCTGATGTCCGTAGATCAAGCCTGTGTGTCGGTAGTCGACTCACGTGATGATCCCGTAACAAGCTCATACCTGGAGGAGTTGGGTTTCACCAGGCTATCAGCAGACTGGGGACTCTACTATCACAAGAAGAAACAGGCATATCTACTGCTCTATGTGGATGATGTCCTGATTGCTGCTCAAGAGATGAGCACCATCAATGGCATCAGGGATGCGATGAAGGACAAGTGGAAATGGTCAGATATAGGAACAGCTACCTATATCCTTGGACTCAAGCTGGAGAGACACAGACCCAGCAGGACCATCTCACTTAGCCAGGAAGGCTATATACAGAGGGTGCTGGACAGGTTTGGCATGCAGGATGCCAAGACAGTCACCACACCACTCTATGATGTCATGATGAAGAGGCAAGAGGACACCATCAAGGAGGACAAGCAGAGGAAGACACTCTACCAACAGATAGTTGGATCCTTGATGTGGAGTGCCATGTCAGCAAGACCAGACATTGTCTTTGCTGTTGGCTATCTCAGCAGATTCAGCAGCAACCCATCTGAACAACACCTCAAAGCAGCCAAAAGGACTTTGGCATACTTGAAGGGTACCATTGACAAGGTCCTTACCCCTGTTCAGTTAAAACAACAACTCAAAGGGCAATCAACATAGCCTTGTTGAATACTGTGATGCAGATGATACAGGAGACACAGAGACAAGGAGAAGCACTACAGGATACTGCTTCAAGCTACTGGGATCAGCAGTCTCATGGACCTCTATCAGGCAAAGCACAGTAGCCACATCTACCTGTGAAGCAGAGTATATGGCTCTGGCAGAGGCTGCCAAGGAAGCCATATGGCTCAACAGGATGCTACAGGAGTTGGGCTTCATCAACAAGGACAACCCAACTCAACTCTACTGTGACAATCAAAGCGAGAGATGGTGGACAATGGGCACATCACCATTCACCATGTTGGAACCCAGGATCAGGCAGCAGACATGCCTATCAAACCACTGAAAAGTATTAAACACAAGCACAACTTGTTGTGAAGTAACAACTAGATCCACTAAGGTTGGTTATTTGATGTACCTCGGCAATAGTAATGGTGTGTTACTAGTGCTGATCTTGTCTTGTTCTGAAGATGAATCAATGTTGCTTGCATAAAAGTAAAGAAGTACATGAGAGGGGAAAGAGAAATCAGACCCCAATGGCCTGCTATATATACTTTTCTGGAGAGGGGCAAACGGTGGCAACCGTCAAACAAGTTTGGTGTTTGGCGAACGATATCGGTGAACAATATTGGCGAACAATATCGGCAAACAATATTGGTTGTTTGTTGGTCGAACAATATCAGTGATTTTTTTCAAATCCAACGCTTCTAGCACTTTCTAGGATGTCCAGTGCCTTTTGCTTCCTTTTTGCTTCCCGCTTCCTGTTGTTTACTTTGTGGTTGAGATTGCTTCCATGTGCTGATGCCCAATCATCACATGCCTATTTCCAACACAACTGCCAGCTCATTCATCTATAGTGATGGAATGAGAGGATTCGATATCAGCACATAATCTTAGGAGGAAAGGATCACCCTCAGCAAGGAATTGCCTGAATAATCGCTCAGGCGAATGTGTAGATAGACAAGTTGCAACCAGCAACCAACTGCAACCAGTTAGTCAGTTAGTCAGTAGCTAGTAGTATCCATCTGCAATACTTCAAGCAGCAAGCTGACGAGTACAAAACCTGATCTCCCCATCACTGCTAAGCTTATCCGTAGGCCACATCATCAAGCTTGCCGGAGGATCAGCCTGTTTGCCATCCTGCCCTTATGAGTTGCAATCTCGCAAAATTGCAGGCCTTCCATGACAAGAAGAGGTCCAAAGTTAAGGACAGCACCACAGATTGGAATTGGCATGCAAGAGCGATAGAGAAGGGTTCGGAACCTGATGGACTGCTGCCCAACAAGCCCGTCACCTCAACCTTTGACACTGTCGAGGAGCACCTCTCTCTGCAATTGCTCAGGAGGGCGGTTTTGCTGCCCCCTCTTGTTGAAGATTGGCATGCTATGACATCATAGGTGATGCTCAAAGGTGCAATCTCAAGCACAAAGGGTCAACATGTGACCAGGATCACATGGTGTGACTGCAGACGCACTTATGTGACTGGAGACATGCTTATGCGTCCAGAGACACACTTATGCAACTGGTGTCCATATTATTGAGCTTTGTCTTGAAGACCCATTTAGAGTCTACCAAGCTAGCTCCCTCTGGAACCTTGACCTCTTGCCAAGTTCCAGTATCCTTGACTGACTTGAGCTCCTTGTTGATGGCTTCTTGCCACAAGTCAGACCTTGAATCTTGCATGGCTGCCCTGTATGACTGAGGGTCTTCTTGTGTCTCCGCAGAGTGAACACTAGCCAGTGCCATCTCCTGCATGAAGTTGAGCCTGGGTGACCTTCTCCTGATAGGTGCCCTTGGCTTGAGTAGCATGGGATCCTCATCATCAGAGTCTTCTTCTTCCTCTGACTCTTCTATCTGTGGTGAAGGATCCCTGTAGTCCAATGGCTGATCTTGTGGGCCATTGACCACTGGTGGTGATGCTTCCTTCTGAGGTTCTTGATTTTGATCCTCCTTTTCCTCAGAAGCATCCTCAGTATTAGGTGACTTTGTACCTCTATACTGTTGACCTTCATGTTCTTGTTGTGCTCCCAGTGGAGTAGTTTTCCCTTCACTAGCTCCCTCTGGCCTCCTGAACACAACATCCCTGCTGGTGAAGGGGACATCTCTTCCTTTTTCTTGTATGACAACAAGGTAGCCCGCTCCAGTGATATTTGGATGCAGCAGTTTCCCCTTGATTGCTTTCTTGGTGGTGAGATCATTCTTGAGTCTGCCCTCCTTGGGTACTCTGTTCCACCACTCTGTTCCAAAGCGGTGAAGCTGGCCATACCGTGGCTTGTGCTTCCACATGATCTCCTCCAGAGATCTCCCTTGGTACTGCTTGCCCATGTTGATAAGGGTGCAAGCATATTGCATGGCATGGAACCACCACTTGTGGTCCACCTTGGCAGCAATTGTTGTGGCTTAACAATTTGTGTGCCCTGTCCAGCCTACCTCCCACTCTCTACAGCTGGCTCATCACTGAGCAGCATTAAAACTTAAGGCAAGATCGTGACATGTGTCTGCAACTGATTGCAACAATGAACAGATCAAGTGAGAGAAGCCCCTGTCACAATGGCTTTATTTTTCTTTGTGAGGACCATAAACCATACTACTGCACCAACTAGGGAAACGCTAGGCATGTCATCCTGAGTTGTTTCACAGTAGTCTACAGCACTTATGGCTAAGTTCCCTTCGATGCTATGTCGATGCTGATGACTCTCAGGCTTGTCTGAACAACCGTCATCAACAAGTGCTCTCAACAAGTTCAATTGATCCTCTTGATCCTCTTCAAGTGTTCATTCCACTTGATCTGTCCATACTTTTGTAGACATCCATTGCTGCTGCCATGCTAGACCCTCACCATGTCGATATCTTTGCGGTCTATCAAATTGTGATACAGAAGGAGAAGGACCACAGGAAGGCCCTGGTTAACAAAGTACAAGAATCGAGGTCGAGAATAGTAAGCATCCCCACCCATCCCCCTTTTATGCGAGGTTGGGAGGTCGACGCAAACAATTCTTCCGCTCGTCCGATCGACCTTGTTGTCAGCGATCAACTACAATCATCTTGACAGCAATCGACAATGAAGAGTGGTCAATCGTTGTCGAACCAATAATGTACTCTGGCACATGTCACATACTCTTGTCCATTGTTACTACCGCCGTCATGTTACTAGAAACACACGTTGAAGCACTTCAAGCCTATCAAGCCGTCATAAACAAGGATCACAGAAAGACCCTAGACATTCTCCGGGAGGTCAACAGGGAGAGAGCCAGAATGAGCCATCTTCTTCATGAGCTATACACCTGGGCTCTTAAATACAAACACATCATCATAAGCTATCTGAAGAAGATCAGATATCCTCTGTAGAAGCAGCTGAACAAGAACCAGGGAGGAATGAAACCAGACAGAGTTTGCAGGAAGGGAGGATGGCGGGGAGACAGGAAGGGAGGATGGCGGGGAGACAGGGCCAAAACTGGCATGTAGCTTTGAGAAAGTCCCCACCATATCCTTGCAAAGCTAGAAGAGTTTGTCAAGGAGTCAGTGAACTGTTCTCTTGAGGTATGTCTATTGGCTGCATCATGGATAAACACAATAATACTGACACATGCATCCACAGGATCTGATTCATTGCAAGGATACATTGCATGCTGGTCTCTCTGCAACTAAAGTAAAGGCTCCCAAGAGAAAGAACCTGGAAAGACCTACTCTGTCAGAACTGAACCAGATTCTGGGTGAAATCACAAGCGAGCGCAAGCCCGAAAGCTTGCTGCAACCGACGAGGGAAGCGACGAGGGAAAGGACAGGAGGGGCGGACAAGCAGACGGCATACGACAAACGGACGGCAAAGGAGAAAAGTCCCCTACGGCCGACAAGGCAAGAAGGCGAGCGTTTGCCAACAGCAAATGACGGGGGCAAGCGTGCGAACGACAACGTCGGGGACTCGCTGCTGCGATCTAAGAAGGAAGAGGTGGAACCTCCGGAATCAAGGCGGGAGCCCTTGAACGACAAGCACTCAATGTGGTCAAGGAAACGCAAGCCGACTGCAACTCGAGTCAGCAAGCGACTCTTGAACCGAAGCAAGGACGCCAAGGCGACCAAGGCGACGGCAACGGCAAGCACGGGAGATGACGAGGTATGTCCATATTGCAGTCATAACATGACACCACACTGATATCTCTGTTGTAGTGTGTCAGAGCATCAAGATCGGAGACCAAGCATTGTACAAGGAGGATGGCACCAAATATACGGTTCAAAAATCCTATATCCATATTGAATTGCTATACACCCTTGCTCAGATCAATGAGCACGTCAAGACGCCAGGTCCAAGAGATCCAGAGGTTCAACCTGATCACTCGGGACTTGAGCAAATTTGAGGTGGTCTGCTCATCACTACCTCTGATGACAAGATCCTTGTTGACAAGAGGTCTGGGCACGTCAGCAACATTTGCGACATTTTGGAATCACTTGAAAACCTCAAAGAAACTTGGGTACACAAACAGGTCATTGTAAGTACAGATCTCTGCACGTTCTTTCGTCAAAACCTGACCTGACTTCGTTGTCCAAACAGAGGCAAGGTGACAACTCAACCTCTACCAGAACCAGCCCCAGATGGCTCTTGCCACCACAAATACTTTGAGATGACAAGCTACAAGGGGGGTTGGATTGACATGAAGTCTTTCATTTGTGCTATTATATTCCTCAAGTACGACAACATAAGCCTTTTCTGTCTGCCATGAAGGCAGATCTTGTATTGACAACCACTTTTCGCACACAGAACAGTGTCTCTTGGAACATGTTTGTTCAGTATGCTCTGGTCATCCAGCAATTAGTCATTCCGTTGAATCCCGTTGGGGCTTTCAGCAATCAGCCACCGATTTTCTTCTCTTTGTGAGTGAATTTTACTTCTCTCAAGTTCTGCAAGTCTTGGCTTATCAAGACTGCAGGTCGGTGTCAAGTAACTGGTCAAAACCCCAAGCTATCATTCAGAAAGTACAAGAATGGTAGGCAGGCTTACATATCTTTGGTGAGACAAGTTACCTTGGAATGGCTGTCTTGCACGGCTTGCAGGTCAGGGTCCATGTAAAGGCTGGAGACAAGCCGCTGGGCTTTGTTGTCATGACAAAATTGGGACGGTTCAAAGGTGAATCTTGTGTTTCCTTTATTGGACAGTATTAAAAACTGGTTTGCAAATGTTGTTGTGAGAGGCTTGCTTTCAGGTGGTGACCTAGTTCTACACATTGTGAACAAAACCTACTGTATTGAGTATCAACAGGGAGACATGGTAACCTTTAGATCAGCCATTGTCATGCATGAGATCATGCCTTCTACTGGTTAGTGCTCTGCCATTGTGCTTCTTAACGAATAGAACACTGCCAAAAACATTCAAAGCAAGGCGCGACCAAGCAGACCTTTTGGCAAACAAGCTGAAGAATTGGATACTGACGTTGAGGCAGAAAATTCCAAGACAATAAGGCCATTGCAATAGAGGAGAGTTGGGATCCAGATGCTCAACACATCAGCAAATTCAGCCTTGGGACATAATATGAAATAGACGACCTTGACCACTGAGTATCGACATATATGTTGGAAATAGGCATGTGATGATTGGACATCAGCACATGGAAGCAATCTCAACCACAAAGTAGACAGCAGGAAGCAAAAGGGCAATTTGCAATTGACAACTTGCAAACCGCAAACCGCAAATCGCAAACTGCAGCCTTTTGCCACCATTTGTCCCTTCCCAGAAAAGTATATATAGCAGGCCATTTGGGTCTGATTTCTCTTTCCCCTCTCATGTACTACTTTACCTTTATGCAAGCAACATTGATTCATCTTCAGAACAAGACAAGATCAGCACTAGTAACACACCATTACTATTGCCTAGGGACATCAAATAACCAACCTTAGTGGATCTAGTTGTTACTTCACAACAATATACAGGGTCCTTTACAGGGTCCCTCAAGTCATCCACTTGTTCAATACATTTCTCTTAGGGGCTTGTATTTGAAGTCGAACAGGTTGACGCCAAGATTACGGCACAGGACATAACCAATTACAGCACAGGTTCCAACCCGTTACGGCACCGGTCAAGACTTGCTATGCCACCAGGGCACGACCTGCCGGCACAGGTTGCGACCTGGTACGGCACCAGGGCAAGACTTGCCGGCATTGGGTTGCGATCCATTGAGGCATCAGGTTGAGACCTGCTGTGACAAGTCGAGAGTTGGGAGACCTCTTGCTTCTGATTTCCAGGCGAACTGTCGATCAGATGCATGACTTGGTCTTCTCTTCCTGCTTCATCGACCTTGCTTGTCTCCTGTCAACCCAACTCGACCTGCCATCCTAAGTATCACTAGAATTACAACCATGATCACGATACCGGGCCAATCGCCATGTCCTGCGCAGCAGGAAGAAGCCGTCGATCCGCCAGACTCAACAATGCTGCGGAGGCTTGCCGTTTACACGCAGCCAAGGAGGCTGATACGTAATGAGAAGAAGAGGCAGATAGGAGGCAAGCAGTAAAGGCAGATGGGAGGCGGCAAGCAGAAGAGAGACGGGAAGCCGACAGGTGTCGAACGGGAGGTGGAGGAGCATCAATGGTTGCTGGTGCTGGATTAGGGAGCGGGTTTGACAGAACTATGGAGACCCATCTATTGCTTGCGGAGATGCGGGCCCGCCATGGTCACGAGGTCTCTGGTCACAAACATTGTGGGCTGTTCACAGGAGAACCCAGGGCTCTTGGAAGACACCATATTGAGTACGGGAATCTGAGTAATCAGCTTGTTAGGTGAGTCACAAACGTTTCCGAGTATGGCCACATCTCGCACCCTTGACCTCGTACCCTCGCCGACGACCTCATACCCTCGCCTACGACCTCGTACCCTCGCCTACGACCTCGCACCCTCGACGTCGACCTCGCATCCTCAACGTCGACCTCGCCGATGATCTCGCACACTCGCCGTTGACCTCGCTGATGATCTCGTACAACCGCCGTCGACCTCGCCAATGATCTCGTACAACCGCCTTTTCGACATCTCGTCTCCATGCTGATTGCTCTCACTGTGCATCACAGACATTGCATTGTACATCAAGTTCCGGTTAGCATTGTATTAGGCTTGCAGGCAAGCCTGGAATAGTATCACACGGGACTAGAAGGTAAGGGTAAGGTAATGAATGTAATAATGGATGTAGTACAACTGGTACTACATTGCAGTAAACACATAGGGGGTGTTCTAGATATACTCCGTACAACGACCCCGACGGGGTTCTCTGAAAAACCCTCCGAACGGTTGTTCCGTTTACGCGTACCGTGGATACTATAACACATTGCCAAATTGAAAGCAATCATTTGTCCCCAATGTGACCTGGCCTATGTGAAACGGATGACCGCAGAGTGTCACAAGCTCGAGAGGAAGTGGGGTTCTGGTCAACGGATCAAGAGCGTCAAGGGAGAGGAATTGCATGACATCAACACCTTGTTGATTGATATCCTCATTGGAAACATGAAACAACGCAAAGTTATGGCTTGTCCCAAGGATATTTATCTAAAGATTTCAGAAGGTTGGAACTGCTGTTGTGTCTGTATACAAGAATGGACGGCCCGGGTCATTGTTGTTCTCAGGATCAGATTCCTGGGCTCAAAGCAGCGGCGGACCTACTCAAGCCGGAATACCGTGGAAGGGTGGCCTATCACTGCTTCTACTACAGCTGGGACCCCATGTGTCTGGGTGGGGTCCAACCAGATAGTGAAGAATTTGACCATGGTAGTATCAAAGCATGCAACATGCCACAGTGCCTAACTGCCTGAGGAGGAGTAAAAGGAATGCGGCCCGGCTTGAGTATACGATGATCAAATCTTATTTGTTGACCACATCTAAATGTGTTTCCTTTGCTTTTCATAAATCAGAAAGGTAAGGCATCTACAGGAATGGACCTCGCTTAGAGTCATCATGCAAGAACCTGGATCAAGGCGCCGGCCCATCTCTAGCAACTGACCACCAACGGCATATATGTCCGCCTTAGAAGGAGTGAGATGCCGGTGCTACGTTCCGACGGCAAAACCAGCTAGTCATTGGCCACTTGCGTTCACTCTGAACCCTGTTTTCATTGTGTGAGTAGAGAGATCGTCAACCCCTTCCTGTCCCTCAAAGATGTTGCCAAGGTGGATTACAAGACAATCTACAAACAAATGCATTGAGCCAAGAAGGTGTGGCAAAAGGCCAAGGCAGAGATTTTGCAAAGGGAGATGGATGCAAAGTCTTCATGGAGATGTGTTGAAGATTGGCATGCTTTGACATTATGGTGATGCTGATTGTGATATCAGCTTGAGCTGATGGTGTAGCTGTTCCTTTGATAATATTGACTGTTGCTATCTCTTGTGTGAATGACTATGCATCTGATTGCTTGCATAAAAGTGAAGTAGTACATGAGAGGGGAAAGAGAATGCAGACCCAAATGGTCTGTCATATGTATTATTCTGAAGAGCATGTTTCTCCAGTGAACTTATGTCTCCTGTCATGTATTTGTATCTCCAGACACACATTCATAACTCCAGTCACAAATGAAAACACCAATATACAACATCAGTCGCATAAGTGTGTGTCTGGTCACATAAGTGTGTCTGTAGTCACAAATATGCAATTCTGATCATATGTTGATGTCGCAGTTGTCTCAACAATACCACATTTGGTAAATCTTGATGTCCTTTGATTGTTGTGCAACAAGGGTAGCTAGTCTTTGTTGATGTTGAAGAGGTGAAGGTGGAACAGGATGAAATGAAAGGGATGAAGTGACAGGTAAAGCTAATGAGAATGGATCTAGTGATAAGAGGTCTGAGTCCTTCCAGAAGAGCGAAAGGATTTCCCATTCCTCTTTCTGGGGAATCTTAAATATATATATATATGTATGGTCTGAGGAAATAGTATGTACAAGAACATGTGTCTGTAGACAGAATTATGTGTCTGTAGACGCAATGATGTGTCTGAGGTTGCACAGTGTGTCTGCAGATGCAGATGCGTGACTGTAGTTGCAAACTTGTGATTCTGGCCATAAGTTGTGATAATTGTTGCACAATCTCACAATGCATTCAGAGCGGCAATTGTGCAACTACTCTAGCTGCAAGTCCACTAGGGGCACATTGTTAGAGATCGACTGCCTCATCGAAGGCTATCAGGGAGAACGGACCGGGCATGTTCTACGGACACGATCGACGGACGTGATCGACGGACGTGATCGACAGGGCTGACCGCCGGGATGGCTGGTCGCGTCGCTCCGACAATAACATACCGGAGTATATAGACGGCGAACTTCGATGGAGACCTATCCATACCACTGTATTAGATAGTTCTCCATCCGTTATACAATCCGTAGGCTTAGAACCTAGTACAAGTCCCGCGTAGAGGAGCGACCAAGGGCATAGCAGGGCTCACCCTTAACACACATGCTCAGCAGAATAGCATATATACAAGGCCATTTGGATCTATCTCTCTTTCCCCTCTCATGTACTACTTTACTTTTATGCAAGCAACATTGATTCATCTTCACAACAAGACAAGATTAACACTATTTACATTTTGTCACTACTGCCTGGGTAAGTCTAGTAACCAATTTTGATTGATTTAGTTGCTATTAACGACAATTTAGCAGCATTTGTTTCCGCTTTACACCAACAACCTGCTTCCTCATGTCCCTCATGTCAATGTAAGTCCCAACAGGTGACACCCGTAACCATTAGAGCAATGCAAGATATGCAGTTTTTTGCAGAATGCAATGTCCAATCCCTCAGTTGTTACAGTCCACAATCTATTCATCAATCCAACTGAGTTCATTGCATCGTGAGAGTCCTGATATGGTAAAACAGGTGACTCTGCTGTTCAAGGTGGACGTCAAGCATCGTCATTCCTTCTGCACTCGATTTTGCCTGCATCCTGCCCGTCGCGAATCGTCCGATCTCACGAATGACCACATGCTACTGAGCTGCTACGCTCGTACGTCTACCGCACCAGTGCGCCTTGTGCGCATGATCCTGGATATTCAATATTCAGAAGTCGACCCATCTCACAGTCACCGAAGTGTCTCGGGGCTCATCCACCATCTCGCGTGGATGTCGCTTGCCGTCCGGTTCACGTGCCTGACTGATCGTCGATCCCCCTCTCGCTTCCGCCGACCCAAAAATGACTCCACCGATTGCCTCCGAATGCGCAATCGCCGTCGCCTTCTCCTTTCTTTCTTTTGCCCTCATACCGTCCTTCGCGCCCTGTAGCTGGCCCATTGAACTATCGCTATCGACCAACCTCGATGAACCTCTTCACCTCTCCATGTGTACTTTTCGTGTTTCAGCGACCGGATCCCTTCATAGCAACAACAGATTAAGTGTTACAATCTTTGACAGATCGACTTCAGCTTCAATCGATCATACACGCTTCCTCCAGTGACAGCCTCCGTTTATCAGCATGTACTCGATTCGCACCAACTCTACGCTTCAACTACCTCTCTCTCCCGTAGATTCTTCACCAGAACAAGTCGAGAAGCCAAACCCAGTACCACTTGGCTCTCGTAGGACCAATCAGAAGGAAGAAAGACCTGCAGTGAACTCTATCAGGCGAAAGCCCAGTCCTCTATGGTCCCAGCAAGAGTGGTCACCCGAAGAGCCTGTCGACGTCGTCCTGGGCCGTCCGATACACGATGCCGGCCTGTCGTCTGCTTCAGCTACCGATAGCGACTCGAGCATGATTCTCACCACCCCCAGGACACCCGCCGACACATCCCAATTCTCCCCGGCTTCGTCGCCTAAAGTCCCGGATCAACATTATTTTCTGCCTGTAGACCAACCTCTCTTTTTCGAAGGAAAAAATACTATGGCGGTCACTAGCGGGGCACGCTCTCGTCCAGCGATCAGCGCGAGGACTTCCTCTGTGCAGACGGAAAGTCAACGCACAGAGCTCCGCGACTCTGCTCTCGCTGGCAGCAAGGTTCAACAGAAGAACCATTATGTTCGTTCTGCTCGACCGAGCCCTACATTATCCACCCCTGGAATATCCGAGTCACTCGTGCAGGAAATGAGGATCAGCCAGCCTGTGGCTTCGAGCAGCACTATACCCTTTCCTACAGGACTCGGAATACAAGGCGCTTTTCAGCAGGGACAAGTTACCCAAAGACTAGAGCGTGCGGAATCCAAGACACTGCCTCCTATACCCCTATCCCGCTCCACAACCGGTGTTCCCGGTGGACCTGCTCCTTTGCCAACCTCGAGGAGTACCGATGCTGCCTGGAAGACTTACAAGCCAAAAAAGGTGAAGCAAGACTTTTCGGTCGACGGACTGGTCGACCCAATCAAGCTATGGGAGGCGAGCCATTGCTATGTTACCGATGAGCTCGGTCGGAAGAGACGCTTTGGCGAATTCTTCGACTCTTCGCCAGAGGCGCAGGCACCTCTAGGCAGAGTCCCACCAAGCCGATCGTCATCACGCAGCGGCCTTTCTCGCTACAGCTCGATTGCCGAATCCCTCGGTTCACAATCGCGGAAACAGTGTGGTGGCGAAGAATGGAACGATCCTGGCAGGAAGACCGTAGTCTTTTATATCAGACATTTCTGGTGTGGTCAATGTGAGCGCTGTCGCTTCCGTTCGTTCGGCCTGGTACTTTGCTCACTGATCGATTTTGCAGGTCAAGACTTTACCTTTGCGTCTTTATCGCAACTCGATCCCGAAGCCATCAATGCTGCTGGCATTAATGTCATAGTGTGGGTTCCAGTCTAAATATCGCCCTACCTTGGCAGCATTCCTGATCGCTAGACGATTGCAGGATATCCAATGGAACATGGAGAATCATCAAGAGATATAGAGAATTATTCCAGCTCAAATATCCGGTATATGTGGACGAACAGCGAGTCTTGTATGAGAAAATGGGAATGGTAGGTCGATTCGACATGTCAAGCTATATATGTTGGATTTGACCTTATTTCTGTACATGTCCAGGTACTGCTGAACAATGACTTCGGGCCCAGCAAGGATCGAGCCGCATACAACCAGAGAAGCGCCCCTTTACAGCTCGTTCACGGACTGAAGGTCAGTTTAGGTGGGATGATCACAGTAGAATCCGTATATTGACAGACCTGTTTATCGCTATAGAAAGCTTTCGTTGATATGCCTCTGGGGAATCCAGGCAAGCTGACGCAGCTGGGAGGCGAGTTTGTCGTCGGGCCGGGACTTCAATGTCATTTCGCCCATCGAATGACGAATACTAGCAGTCAGTCAATCCAGATCTCGTGATGCACAATGTACACTGTCTGACGGCGATATCAATCTCGATAGACCATATGGAGGCTTTCGACGTGCTGAAAATTGCTGGTTGCGACAAGCCAACCAAGAACGAACAAGCAATCAAACGCTTTGCAGAGGAAGAGCTAGCAGAGATCGCGCAGCTACAGCGGGAAGAAGAAGAATGGAGGGAAGGACGAGTCGAGGAGATTGAGCGCATTCGACAAAGCAGAGCTGCGAGGCGTCAACATTTGACGCCGATACAGCAAGAGCAGCTAAGGCGACTCAGTGTGCCTACAGAATCACAGGAGGAATAGATGATAGATCATGTACCGGTACCCGACATAGATGGATCGCCAAATGGCGATTTCAGGTGTAAGCAGCTGAGATACAGGACCCCAGCAGAGAAGTGAGGTCAATTATAATGCGCGATAATACAACTTCTATCATGACAAGTGTAAACATCCAACCCGGCCTAATCACGGTCTGAAGGAAATCCATACGACTGGCGGGCTTCTATTGGGGGTCTACGCCGGATTGCCTTTTCGCGTTGATCGGGTGGACCCGATACACCGTCCGGACTGATACTCGAGGAACGCGTTTCGTCTGCCTGAGTGTAGATCGCGGAGGAATCTTCTGCTTCGGTGTTGTGGCCTAGACGAAACATTCTCCTCCGTCTCGCCTTGACTTTGTTGTTGTCAAAAGTCGAATTGGGCACACTGCTCTGCCCAAGAGCAGCTTGAGTCATGCTCAAGCCGGCAGAACTAGCGGGATGTGTCCCGATAAGGGAGTTGGCCCTTGAGAGGTAAGGGGCACTGCGTACCGCGATGTGTTCATGACTCCTGGCGTACGGACTGAGTGTATGGTTCGAATGGGAGAGGGAGGCCAGCTGGGAGACCGAGTCGTTAAGAGGTAGTACGATATTGTTGTATCGCGCCGCATTCATGGCGCCAATGGAGTTGGCTCCTGGCGGCGAACCCGATAGTGAAGCCTGATGAGGACCGGAAGATCGCCTGTTTTTTGGCGGAGTTACAATCGGATGCGCGGGATAAGCTTGCATTGACATGGGTCGTTGTCGTGATAAAGGGTTCAAGCGATCCATTGGCTGATTACCAAGCGTAGAAGCAGCGCTCGATCTGGATACGACGTTCTGCATCGCCGACTGTCCCCGCGTTGGTCGAGCAAAGCTCATGGGCGCGGGTACGCTCTCCGAGCGACTATGCGAGCGCGCAAGATCAGGCCTTGGCGTTGCCGAATGAGCTGATGGTGAAGCTGACATAGTCCGAAACTGAGGGGGCATCATGCGGTCTGGCCACATCCGTCTCGACGTATTGCCGCCCTGACCATTCAGAATCGATCTTGCCATCCCCAAACCAACTGACGACCCGCCGGCAGAGGAGCGGACGCTTGAAGCGCGGCCCACTTGTCCGTTCGTGATGGCTTTTGTGGTCCCCGAGGGACTGCTTGGTGTTGCGAGAAAAGGTCTTTGGATGCCTGCATCCGAGGGAGCTCTGATCTGGCTTTGTACGTGATATATGCGCGGACGAGTAGCCGGCAGAGCACCCGTTATGGATCGGGGCCAGCCATCTTCATCGCCAGTCATGATGCCGCCTCTTATTGCAGCTATCCCGACAGACGATCCAGTTCCCCTCTGCACAAGCGATCTCCCTCCTGCACGACCTCTGGTTCCCATCGCTGCTCGCAGAGATGGACTTGCGTCTACCGCATTGACGCTGCGAGCTCCGTCGTCGCTATCGACCAGGTCCGATTCATCGTCGTCAAGGTCGATGTCGATGTCATCGGGATCTGCCTCATCGGCCTCCATGAAGGTGATCTCTTCCGCCAGGCTCATCAGGCTATTTAGACCCCTATTCTTGCGGTTATGCGGTGTGTCCCACAGTCGTCCGAAAGCTCCGTATCCTGAATGTGATGGCACTCCCTCCGGTCGGAGTCCGTACGTGGGATCATAATTCTCAATCTCGGGGAATGTCGTGTAGGACGTCGGCGATTCATGTGCCGAGGAGGTTGACGGCACACGCCTTTTGATTTGGGACGTTCGGAGTCTGCGTGAGGGGGAAACGGAGATAGAGTCGTCTGGCGCCAACGATTCGTTGCCCTCCCCGGCTTCAAAGTAGTCATGTCTTTGGTTGGGTTCTCCAGTACGCAGATCTCCTCTCGGTAACGGAGTATGAGGGTCGCTTGGGTCGATTTTAACGGTTTCGTGACGGTATGGCATTTCCACCTTGCCTGACATGCCTGCTCCGCCGAACCATTTCTGACTGAGTCGGTGGATGATACCGGGAAGATCCTCCCGAAAGAGTTCCTTCAATTGACCCTCTATTTCCTGCTGCAGGTACCCTCGAATAACCTCGATCGAATCGAACGTCGAAGATACGTCGACGTTCTGCAGTGGGTCGTTCTTGAAGACCAATGTGATGCCCTTGGATTTGGATACGACCAGTATCAGAATAGCCCGAAGGTTCAAGGATGATAGCCGCAATGTCATTGGTACTAGTAGCGGTTGCGATGCCAGTAACGGCGTAGACATCGGTAATGTGGAACTCGAGTCGAGATGCGGATTATGCGAAAGCGGGTTCGCTTGAACTCTGCATCGCACTTCTATCCAAGCGTCTCCTTGATAGCCGAGTCGAAAGATGCCACGAAACCGGTCCGTAGACAAGTCTCCGATCTCCAACAATGTCAGGGTAGGAGGCTGATGTTCGGACGATCGCACATGAGATTGGATTCTTGCCGCCCGATTACGAGCTCATACTTACGGTCTTGCCCATGCTCAACTCCACCACTTCTATTCGCCCTTGAATCACTGGAGGTTTACTTCCCTATGATGGCAAATAGACCGATGTAATTGTACGTCAGCCTATTTTGTCCGAGCGATCCGTCAGGCGACATGGCTACACACCTTGTTCAGAGCCCCTTCCAGCATCGTTTTGGCATCTTCGTGAAACGCCGGTGAGAACGCGGTCGACCATGACGGGAAACAGAACGACATCGTGTCGAACTTTCACCGTCTTTTCAAGCTCATACGGCGTAGTGCTCGTTCAGTCCTTCCGAGCTATCCTTAATGTTGCGCAAGCTCCTGCCGATTCTAAGCTAGGCTTAATTACGGGCCACAGACATGTATGTCAATTCTGTACGCAGCGATCCTGCGATGTGCTTGTCCTGGAGGAGTTCAGGGGCTTCTGCCTTTATCCTATATGAACGTCACCGGTATGTTCGCAGGTTCTGAGGTCGACGAGGACCAGACGGCGGGTTGCTGCAGCAGATTGAGACCTTCAAGACTGCATTCGACCTTCAGAAACATGTTCGAGGTCTTCCGACACCCGGCCTCGCGCGCCGAGTCCATGATGCGTATTCGCAGCCGGAGAGTCTCGGATCGATAGATTGATAAACGCACAGACGGTCAGGGTAACAGGCATACGCATACTAGGATACTAGAGATCTAGAGGTGGAGAGATTCGAGCCGAGTTACATTATGACACAGTCACTTTCAGAGGAAAAGAGTTATCCCAGACGACTAGCGATGAGAAGAGACATTGAACAACTAACAACAGTAAAACACGAGGAAATAAAAAGCACAACAGAACTCGCAAGACGTCCGTTTACCTTCGAGCACTGTCCGTCGGTCCAGCATTAGAGTAAGCTGAAGCGTCGCTGAGAACACTCTGTCTAGTCGTGTTGTCCTCGGGGGCTTGAAGGTGAGAAGGCGATGCACCGCTCGAACCAGCCGCTTCGGCAGCCTCGGTCGAGGACTTCACACGCGCAGCAGCATAGGCCGCTAGCAGTTGATCAGGGTTCACTGTAACGATGGGATTCGAAGTTTGAGCCGAGGATACAAGACGATGCTTCTTTGTCGAAACTCACTGCCGTTAGGTGCCATGGCCATCCCCATAGGGCTAGTAGCACGGACCGTCGACGTCGGTGCACCGAGTGAGGAACTGGGTACCACGGGATCGCTCTCGACGGCGAGGTCCTCCATCGAATTATCGTCTCCCTCGTGACGGTTGTTATAGTGACGACCATTTGCGTCTTGACCCTGGGTCGAGTATTGCGAATCCATCTGAGATCGACGGACTGTTTGTACGAATAATTGTTATGGACTCAGCAACCACGACCTATATTACGCCCAAAACGCACATTGCACTTACACATCTTGTCCTCCATGTTCCTGACGGCCTCCTCGCTTCGACGAGTGGCGTCATACTGTTCGATATCCCTCCGATTGTCATCCCCGTACGCAGACGTAGCCTTCTTGTCCTTCAAGCCGACCGCACTGCTCAGTGCGCTAAAGATCCCGGCCTTCTTTTCTGGCAACGCAGGCACAGCAGGGATATTCGAAGGTCCAGCGGCCTGGGTAGGCGAGACGGCAAAGTCCCTGTCGTCGTCGAGTTTGCGCGAAATTCGGGCCGAGACCAATCTCGAATTGTCGATCGAATGACGTTCGCCATCGATCTGGGAGATGGCCCGTCGTGGACCCGCGCCGTTGTTGTTGGTGGTGGAACCCGACATGTTCGACTTGGTCGGCCTCAAACCGGCGTCGCTGAACGAGACCCGGGATTTGCGGACGTCGTCGGCAAACGAGATTCGGGATTGTCGGACGTCGCTCTGAGACGCGTTGAAGATGGATTGACGCAGTTGACTCTGACGCATCTCGGAAGAGGGATTCCCGTTGACACCGACCCGGGGGATGCGTTTGCCGCCACCAGCTCCGGCGCCGGCCATGTTGTTCTCGTTGGCGACCGAATAGATGGACCCCCTGGCATCACCGTTGCTAAAGTAGACCGAGGTCGCACGGGTACCATTGCTGATCATGCTCGACCGCACGCCACCCGGTCCACCAGCGGCACTTCCACCAGCTCGACTCCAATCGCCAGAAATGGTCGACATTCGTCGATCGACGTGCTCGGACCACCTCTTTCGCTTCTCCCTCTCCTTCATCCTGGCAAACTTGATGTACAGTCCGACAAAGAACCCGACGACGACGATAGGGACGACGATGGCAGCGGCGATGGCCCCCTTGGAAAGACCGGGAGGCTTTTCGAGTTTGGCCGTCTGATAGAGACCGTCCGAATCCGTGGTCGTAGTGATGGAACCATCGGCGGCGGTCTTGGTCTGGGTCACCGCAGCAGCTTTAGAAGTCGCGGTGGCGAGTTGTTCCGGAGTGGCATGAATGGAAAAGATGGGACCCGGAGTGAGCATGAACTGAGGGGTATCCGCCTCGACGATCCCCAGGTTGAGGTTCGCGTCGGCGGTATTATTCCACCAGGACGGCTCGAGTTTGCCTAGATTGTAGCTCCCTCCGCTATTGGCGGCCTTTTTGAACACTTGCGCGATCCCGCTCGACGTGCTCTGGTCCAGGGACGCGTAGCTGTACAGGTAGATGTCGACAAACTCGGTATCAAAGCACGAGCTGTCCCATTTCGCCGTCACCTCGTCGCTGGCTTGAACGACATCGTTGGCCTTGGGCGATTGGTAGATCTGGGCGGGCGTACAAGCTGACAGACGAGTTCGGGCATTAGTTCAGTTTGCGAGTTCGAGGTGATTGATGGGACGAGGCTCTTACTGGTACGCTTGTTGATCTCGCGTCGAGGAGTGTTCCTCTTGCCGGTGTGATCTGCTGCAGCGTATCCCAACCTGAATTTGTTCAGACCTTCGAGCGTCATGTTCGAGATGAGGGGATGATTCGGTGTTGCTGTTGACAGTAAGATAGATGATGAGGGTCTACTGATAGAGGTATATCGACGTATTTGATGTGTTATGAAAGAAGGTATCGCCGACTGTAGAGATGTTGATCGTGGAGGGTCTGAAGCTAGGTCAAAGAGGTTGGCGGTGCCGAAAATACTAGGGACGAGTTGGACGGGGTCCTGACGACGAAAGAGGAAAGGAAAAGAGCGTGATTGTCGTTGTGGTGGTCGAGGGTCGAGTCGAAGGAACGAAAGGTTGATGATAGTATGATAGTAGGGAGTGACGGGTTGAAAGGATGTCAAAGGCCTGAGGTCGAACAAGGGCTGAGAGTCTGATCTGACGCACGACCAGCTACCAAGGGGGTGGTCAAGGGGCACAAGGGCAGGAGGAGTGAAAGGGAGGAGGAAGAGCACGACGGACACTCCCTCCTTGTTGTTTTGATCGAACAGAGGCAGCGCGCGCCCAGAGAGAGAGAATCCCACGCGACGCCATCACTCGCTCAAGCCAAATGCGGGGGCCCTCGGACCGAATACAGCACAGCACAGCAGAATCGACCATCAGAACGATAATTCCGTAAGGAAAGGGCAAGGATCAACAGATCGATTGACGATCCCGGCGACTCCTCATGGACAACCAACGACCGTTCAGAGGCGCAGAGGCCAGGATTGCTTGACTCTTGTTCGACCTAGAGACCTTGATCAGACGATCCCGCTTTCGAATATTCCTATCGCGGCCGGAAGCAATCACTCGAAGCAAAAGCTTCCAAGCGAGACATCACGAAGGACGGACATTCAAAATGCATGTTAATCCGCTTGCAATATGGGATAAACCCTTGCTCTATTCATTAGGTCGTAATCGGATCGTTACAAAATCGCCAACAGCGGGCACTCAAAAAGGTCTTTTCCCCTTCTACTCGATGCTGGCACGGATTGCAGATGCTTCCCCAAGAGCAATCCGGCTTGCCTCCGGTACAATGTGCAGTATCGATCGTTGTTCCGCACATCGAGATCATCCTGCCATCCATTCCTTTGTCGTCTGCCCAATCTTACGCCGAGACCCCGCCCTGCTGCCTCTCCTCTTGCATCTTCATCTGCAAGATCCCCACGCAACTCTGCAAGTTGTCCTGTTTCCGCTCGATCGTCGCTTGGAGCTTGTCGAGGTTTTCTTGAACGAACTTGACTTTCGAGGTGTAGAGCGAGATGGCTTCTTGTCGAGTCTGTCCGTGAGGGGTCAACATAGCAGCAGGAGGGTTAAGCATGAAAGAAGGGACTAATGAGAATAGTCTATGTGAGGACTTACCTTTTTCACATAGTACCCCGTCCCGATGTCTACCACCACATGTTCCGGATCCGTGATCCTTCCCGGTACGTAAAGTGACGACGTCAGCGGTACGAGCATCGATTTGCCTATCGATGAGAGCAGTTCAAGGATCGATCAGTCATGATGGGCTAAGTTTAAGACGAATAAGACAGCCCCGCCGGTACTCACCTTTGGTACTAGGCTTCATCTCCTGGACATCGTTTGCGCATGATCGGTACTTGGCCTGTGCCGACCGGAGGGATCCGAACGAGGTCGACAAGTGTTCAATCTCCTGTCAAGGGTGGAAGAAGTTACATAGAGAAAAAGATGATGCAGAGCGTGAGTTTTGTTAGAGAAAGGCCACCCGCACTTTAGCATAAAGTGAATTCGTTTCCTCACCTCTTCCAACTGTCGCTTGACCTCTTGCAGCTGTGCAGAGTTGAGGTCTCCGAGAGATATTTGCTTTTCGGCCATGATATACACTACTCCAATGGTCTTGTGGATGCGTAGAGAGGTTACGAATTACGATCTCGGTGGAAGTGGGCAGTGTCACTCGATCTTGCATGATCATGAACATCGCGAACCTCGGTCTTGACATCGGGACGCTCGGGATGACGCGGATGCAAAGCGACAAAGGAGCGATCCGAGCACTGTAACGTTAACTCACCATGTTCAGAACGCCTGACCGCGTCAGAAAATCAGGGTAATCTGGTATATCTGGTGTACAATCGTCAAGGTGATATTGTGTAGTCCGTGGAAGATTCGTATAGGTGGGATCTGATAGACGGTATAGCCGCGAGGGATTCGAGGTCGCGCCTTGCCCCGATCTACACAATCGAGGTACTACATTGCTACCGTTCGATCCCTCATGCCTCGGGAAACCACCCATAACGCTTCAGATCCACCTTTTCCTTTCCTCCACCATGGGCGTTGATGGAAGCTCCTCCACCTGCGACCGTCATCACCTCGACGCCCTCGGCGATCAACGCTTCTCTCTGTCGTTGTACGCTCAGTCCGTCGTCGCCTCGAGGCGAGATGAAACCCGCAGAGCTGATCACTCGCTACGACGATAATAGACAGGTTATATGAATCATAGATGATGCATGGGTTGGTGAGCAGAATTAGGGACGATCAAGTACAAGCTGGATGTCAGCGGATTGATTTCGACGGTGACTGAACAAAACGGGCAGCTCACCTGCCAAGGAACGGTAGAATTGGGAGGAAGGTCTCGCATTGCATTTCCAACGTGTCTAGAGCGGTAATTCACTATCCTCAGCCTGTAATGAAACTCTTCTGTATAGAACCGACCCGAAGAGGCTCACCTCGAATGGTTCGGGAAACCGCTCATGACCGCTATGTGCTTGTACGTAGTGACCTTGCCGTACGGTATCGAGTGCGTTATCTCGTACACCCTCGAAGTGAACACGGCCATGTTGTTTCCACCATGTTCCTCGGCTTCGTTTGTTCTTTGTCCGGACATGGCGGATTGAGGACCTACTCGGAAGGTGGAATCGAGATCATCCCAGGTCGAGTCGAATGACGTCGAAGGTGTTGGTCGCAGCGGCAAATGGGCTGTTAATTATATAATTATGACGCAGAGATCAGAGACTATGTATGACAGACGGTAGCCTTAACCCTAGATCCCGGAGAGCATAGGATGCTGATAGCTAAGAGCGAGACTGGAGTGATGTCAGATGAGCGAGGTTGAATAGGTAGATTATCGATTGACCCGGGACTCGTCGTCTACCCCCGGAAGGTGGTCGCTGCTGCCCTTCGCGTGAGGAGAGTGTGGGCGCCGAGTAAGCTGGGCGGGCACACACACAACGGCCCCGGGCGACCAACTTACGAAGTGCAAGGTTTGACCCCCTCGAGCCCTCGTCCTGGCCTATCTATGCTGCCATCATTATCCTGCAACCCAAGATCGATCCTATCGACATCTCCCATCTCTATACTGCTAGAACGTCGAGCTCGCGTTGGAACAACGGTATCCCTGGTCGCCAACAACTCCCGTCGGCACTCGACAAACCCGATCCGTACGAGTCCTATCTTTGGGTAGCGCCGCTGTGTTCACGCATATCCATCACTTAGCACCACCACCCCTTGATACAAATAGGAAGCCGTCTATTCCATTATTCGGTCTTTACAGTAGGCCTGAACTGGGGACTCAGAAGATAGAACAAAATGGCCATCGAGGCCGCATCGTGGACGTCTGAACCTGGCAGGATGGATCGACCTGGGGATTTCGAGATGAATGGGGGCAGTGGTGTGAGTATTGCAGAAGCACCATCTGCAGATGGCTGTGAGAAGCTGATCCAGTGTGGCCGGTGGTGCAATATAGGGCATGTTGGGGACGAGCAACGAGTATGAACAGGTAGTGAATAATCGGGGACAGCCGTGAGTAGCATGTCGACGTTATCGCTCATTCGCAAGAATTCAAGGCTGCTGACAATATCGCTGATGTCGCAGAGCAAGATCATCACACGCTCCACCGCATACCATGGATCCGATTCCAGGAGCTTCGGTCCAGCGATCCAACTCGCTCAAACCTCACTCTCACCGAATACGTCCCCCTACGGACCTCTCCACTGCACCTCCAGCACCACCTCCTCCGCAGGGTTACGCACCTCGGCATCCCGAGTCTGATCGAACTCAAACGGATTATAACAAGCCTGTCGATAGGGTCCGGGCGGAAGAGGTCGATCCAAACGTCAACGGGGCTTCCGGTGGACCTCCTCGAACGCGGACGGGGAGCGACCCGAACGTCCGAGTAAAGAACGCGAGACAGGTCGGAGATTGGCAATTGGGCAAGACGATCGGAGCTGGGAGTATGGGGAAAGTCAAGACGGCGACCAACGTCTATACGGGGGAAAAGGTAGGTCTGACATGAGGGATCGCTTGGCTTGAGGTAGATGGCGAAAGGAGGTCTGACAGCTGATGTCGATTTGAAACGTTTGGTTGCACGTTCGTGCTTTCGTTGTTTGTCATAGTGCGCGGTCAAGATCATCCCTCGGTGGTCGACACCGCCTGCACCTAAACCCACCAGCGGAGAACCCCTAGCAGCCGGCCTCGAACCAGAAAAAGCCGCTGCCGTCCGAGATGCTAGTAAAGAAACGAGGACGATCCGGGAAGCCTCGATCTCGCTCTTACTGCACCACCCTTATATCTGCGGCATGAGGGAGATGATCGTGCACGCGAACCATTATTACATGGTCTTCGAGTTTATCGACGGCGGTCAGATGTTGGACTATATCATCAGTCATGGGAGGCTGAGAGAACGGGCGGCGAGGAAGTTTGCCAGACAGATCGCTAGCGCGTTGAATTATTGTCATCGGAATTCGATCGTCCATCGAGGTGGGTCGAACGAAGCTCACGCTATCTGCCGTACATCACTGACCGCTGTGCTCCAAACGCGCAGATTTGAAGATCGAGAACATCCTGATTTCAAAGACTGGCAACATCAAGATCATCGACTTTGGATTGAGCAACCTCTACTCTCCTTACGACCACCTCTCGACGTTTTGCGGATCGCTCTACTTTGCCGCGCCCGAGCTCTTGAACGCCAGGGTGTATACCGGACCCGAGGTCGATATCTGGAGTTTTGGGATCGTGCTATACGTGCTCGTCTGCGGTAAAGTACCCTTTGACGATCAGAGCATGCCGGCTCTGCATGCCAAGATCAAGCGAGGGTTGGTCGATTATCCGGCGTGGTTGTCTGCAGGTGGGTCGTACGTGAAGCCATATTGATGAAACAAGCTGACCCGGACCTATTGATGTACGCTGTTGACAGAATGCAAAGACCTGCTTTGCCGGATGCTAGTGACCGACCCGGCGAATCGAGCGACCTTGGCCGAGGTCATCGCCTCGCCCTGGCTAAACAAGGGGTTCGAGACGCCTACAGACTCGTACCTCGTACCGCGCGAACCGCTGCGATCGGAAGAACTTGACCCCGAGGTCTTGCGCGGGATGGCCGGTTTCGAGTTTGGGAGCGAGGACAACATCCGTCAACGGATGACCGAGCTGTTGACGAGCGATACCTACCGGAGGGTGCATGGCGAGTGGGAGACGAGACGGAGTACGCAACGTAAGGGACGGGAATGGGATGCCGAGGGGAGGAACCGGGATGACAATGGGTCTTCAGGCGGTTCGTCAGCCATGTCTCCGCCTGCCGGCCTTGCTTCACCTACCAAGGGCAAATCTACGCCGACGAGACGGTTCTCCGGTTTCGACTTTTACAAAAAGGGCTTGTTCAAAAACAACTCGACGGCGTCAAATAACAAGGACGACGCACGGTCGGATCGGCTGACCGGACCTGGTCGTACGCTCGGGGACGATCAGGAATACCTCGATCCGACCCGTGGATTCCATCCCTTGATCTCGATCTACTACTTGGTACGGGAAAAGATAGAGAGGGAACGGGTCTACGGACCAGGCCTATTCGCCTCGTCCGAGCTTTCACTAGCACAATCGCCCGGCTCATTACCCAACGGTGCGCCAGGTGCTCCGAACGCCAGGGCACCGGCTTACGGTATGCCATTACCTCGTCTGTCGATTCCGGAAACGTCGCATGCGCCAGCTCGAGGGTCGGATTCTGTCCGAGCTGTACCGCCCTCGGGCGTCTCGGGTGGATTTGAATCGCAGCCATTACCCCGAAATCGCGGTGAAAGCCTGAATCAGCGAGCAGACCGCGTCAACGAGCTTCGGGCGGCAGGTGTTATGCAACATCCAGAAGAAGACTTTGATCGGAGCCGACTCGATCAGGTGTCGTCACCTCAGGTTCCGAGCAGCGTGTCCGGCTCGAGTCACCGTCGAAGCTACTCGATGAACGGTGGGCTGGGCAGTCCTACCGAAGTGCATACCTCCCGAATGGTGTCGAGCGCTTCTCAAAACGTCAAGATGGATCATGCGATAGATGAGGACCTAGTCAGGGATACGCAGGATCTCTCAATCGGCGACCAGCGCTTGATTCAGGAGCCGGAAAGCCTCCCTACCGACTCGTTCGAGACGGCCTTGACTTCAACTCGCCCAGAACGCGCGACCATCGATCCGAGGACGCATCTCGTCGACTCGTCGGCCGAGGGTATCATCTCGGACGCTGCACCGGTTCGTCCATCACGGTCGGACCAGATGGAACCCCGTGTCAATCAGACCCCGACCAAAATCGATGCCAAGCCCGTATACCTCAAGGGTCTTTTCAGGTGGGTGTCTGACAGAAGGCCAAGCGAATCAAGCATGCGTACTGATACTTAAAACTCGTGCTGTTAGCGTTGCAACGACTACATCCAAAAACGTCGCCACAGCACAACGAGAGATCCGGACCGTGCTCGACCGGATCGGCATCCACTATCGCCCGAACAAGACCGGCTTCGAATGCGTTCATGCGCCTTCGATTGACTTGTCATCGGTACAGCCTGTCGAAGGCAGTGGGCAGACTGGGGGTGGTCCGAAACGACCTTCAATAGCATCAGCGGGCGAGGAAGGGTTCGACGCCTGGGCGTTTGGAGAGAATGGGTCTGCCGGGAGCGCCTTGCTTGTCCGGTTCGAGATTAGCATCGTCAAGGTGAGTTGGTCCTTGGCAAGAGCGATAGTTGCCGTAAAGCGAATGAGCTGTTGAATCGTAACCTCCACATCGATGCAGGTCACCTGGCTAGGCCTCAACGGAATACAATTCCGTCGAATCGGTGGAGACGGCTGGCAATACCAGATGCTGGCGAAGCGGATCTTGGTCGAGATGCGCCTATGAGCTAAGTTCTATGCTCAGCTGGCGGGATCTTCAGCAGGGGAAGCGCTGGGCGTTTAAGTGGCCAGGTAGATGTTATGCATGTGGACCAGGATTTCGGTCGTGAAGATCATGGTCAGTGTCGCGTTCGTTCTGTACAAACAACTCTTTTTACACGAATTGTAGGGGGATGATACATCACATCGTTCACGGGCTACCTCACGCCCTCGAACTCGCTCGCAGCGAAGCAAGACTTTCCCGGCGATACCCAGCGATGTTTCGGAAAAAACAAAGCAAGCTATCGGCTGCTTTCCGTGTTCAGAACCTGGGACTCACCCTCGTGCCTAGCATGCCTAGAGCAGCTTCCCTCGATGTGGCCACGCCTCTCGACCCGGGCCCGTAGCCGTCCAAGCGCGCGACAGCCGAGAGGGAAAGAAAAGCACAGCGCACAGACCGGCAAACGCCGTCGCGGATCCGCGAATCCCCGATCTACCGAGATCCCCTCTTTCATCCTCTGCGCGTTCTGCGTGCCCTTGCCACGAAGAATGCAGAGCCGTACTTCGATCTTCGATCCACCTTGGAATTCTGGAATGTCGTTTCGCAAGTGAAAGCGAAAGCGAAATGAAAGAAGGAATAGGGGTTCGAACGCCCCAATTTTGGCGCAGAAAGTTCTCTCTTGTCCAATCGATGAGCTGCGAGAATACCGGGGATGATGGCTTGCTTCTGAGAATTGAGAGGGATTGATTGAGACGTGAGACGTTACCTGGCCTCTGGCGAGTAGCGTTGCGATACACTTCGATCGCGGATGGACCGCTCGTACCACTCGCGACTCGCCGGGGAACGAGAATGTCACCCAACCCGCGCTGCACGCCAAGACCCGGCGGCATAGGCCAACAGCTAGCAGCAAAGTGGAGGTCACGTTCGATTACAGGTAGCGAGTTTCGCTGTGCGCCGTGTCTCCCCGCCCCGCGCCTGATCGTTTTGATCGGGTCTGGACTTGCTGGCAGAAACAATTTATCAAGATCGGGTAGTGAGAGATTAAGCTCACTAGCGCAAATTTAAGAACTCAGCCACTTCTCGGAACCATCAGGTTTGCGACCTTTCGATCCGAAATACTCGAGATTATTGACAAGATGCAAGATGCGAAAGGTTCGAGCTGCAAGATGTGGTGTTTGTGATATCTTGTCGTAAACAACGAGTAACAGGAACGAGGGTTGTGTACAGAGACATACCCCGCCACACTGGCTGCGGGAATCTAAGCACAGGCTTTCACCGGTATACTTGCACTTGTGACCACTGGGATCTCGCTCTGTGACAGGCCCGTTACCGGCGAGTGAAGGTTTCGGCGGTTGCTAACGGGAGCGTATTTTCACCTCTCGGCCGGGCTCTTCCTCTCCCTTAGCGTGCTTTACGCTAGTCCCATGATATGGTATGGCAATCGTCTTGCTAGCCACTAGCTACCTGCTACCAGACTCTCGAGCTCTGTCTGATTTGAGATCGTCAGGAGTGACTGCACGTTGTTGAAAACGACGACGGCGACGGAAGACTTTGATCGCCGCCTTTACCGGGGCTATCGCGTGTACCTTACCTTGTTCCATCTCGCTCCCGAGATTTACGAAGGAACACCCCCAGCATACATACCCCAGCTACCCAAGCGAAAGAGACGGGCAACAAGGGAAGACGACAGCGACAATCAGTAAAGGTTATCAGGTTCGGCCTGTCTGTGCACGGTCGGGGGCGTAGAACCCGCACACGGATCATCACTCGATCACACCTCATCAGTCTCGTATACGGATCATTCGTTCTCCCTCTTCGTCAAAGGAGCCGAAACACGCGGGAAACTCGACAAGATTCAATTAGGACGACCGAGGGTGCCATCCATCTATCCATTTTCCACCAACTCGTCATCTCTCATCACCAGATCGATCATCACAAGTGTCGTCGCCAGTCGACTCGAAGGACGGGGCAGGCAGCGAGAACGAGCCCATCAATCCTACGTAGTTGTTTAGTCCTTGGCTCCTCGCTTTTCCCCTCTCGACGAGTTGCCTGAACACTGCCAGCAGACATCAATTGTAGGCCGGCGGAAAAGCGACAGTCGACAGGCATTGAGAAGGCTACAGCAGAGGAGAAGCTATATAATCAAGGCAGTTTTGGAAGGATCCCTTTTCGACATCATACAGTTCGATCGAAAAATATAAGCATCAAAGCTTAGCGTTGCCGTTCTCGACCTTGAACTCAACTGTCTCTAGGTTACAAACACCTCCTCGATCGACCTCGACCTCTTTTACGACATACTAGACGTCAAACAGTCATCACCATGAACCCTTCCGATCCCAACCACCAAGGCTCCATGCCAGCTCCAGCTTCACCTCCCGCACTCGACCCTCCATTCCGAGGATATATCGAGACGACGTACGATGCCTTGCTCGTCTTCGAGGCTGCCAGGAGGGGGATGATTCCGAGGGTCACCAGACGGCTCATCGAGAGGGAGAGGGGAATGGTACAGAGCGGAGCGGTATTCGTATTTGACGAGCACGAGAGCGGGATCAAGCGGTGGACCGATGGGTTGGTGTGGAGTCCGAGTAGGATCTTGGGCAACTTTTTGGTAAGCAACGAGCGTATCCATACCGAGTATTGCTTCGTATACTCATAGTTCTCTTCTATCTTTGCGTCCGTGTCATTCGCAGGTCTATCGAGAGACGGACAAGCGGAGAAACTCGAGCACCGGCAACAACGACCAAGGAGGAGCTGACAAGCAGACCTCGTCGTCGATCTCTTCTGGCTCTCAAGGTCGACCGGGACTCTCGGCGGCGAGCATCACCGGTCTCGACTATACCCAGGCTAGGGGTCGGACCGTGAGCGACGGTCAAGGTCAACCTTCGGATTCGCTGGATAAGAACAGGGAGAGACAGCTCGTCGGTAGTTTGACGAATAGCTACAAGTTCAAGGATGCCGGGTTGGTGAAAAAGGTAAGCTCCTCATCGAATAGGTGGTATGATGATGCCGAATTGACAAGCTGATTACATTCCGATCTTCCTCCTCGTGTCACGCTCTTCGATATTATAGACCATGTCCGTCAACGTCAACGGATTCGCTCAACACATGGTCTCGTACTACTCGGTCGCCGACGTTCTCAACGGTCGACTACGTACCCCGTCGTCCATCGGGGAGCTCGTCTCGCTCGAGATCAGCCCAGAGTACATGCAGAAGCAAAACTTCCGGTTCCCACCCGTCTTCGATATCGGTCCCGACGGGCTGTTGCAGTACAAGTAAGTCGCGGTTTTCGGTCTGATGGCTTGCAACAGAATGTTCAAGTGCTCATCGCGCGACGCTATTACTTCCAGGGGCGAACTAGAGGAGAGTAACCCTCAGCCTCAGACTCCTTACTCTGCGGTTCCCATGTCCGGAGCATCTCAAGGGTCATACGGTCCTTCGACGGGCGATGTCGATTACAGTCGACCTAGCACAGCGAGCGCGGGCGTCTTGACTCCCCTGAGTCCGGCAGGCTACTCGGCTTACCCGCAAGCTGGCTACTTTGAGCAACAGCAAAATCAGTACCCGCCTCCCAACGCTGCATCATCGTCGACCGAACACTTGGCTCGGGGACCAGCGGGTTCGATGGCACCACCGCCCTTGATACGTCAGGCGTCGGATAGCAGCGTGCGATCGAACCACTCGAGCATGAGAGCGTCTAGGCGGTACGATCCGTACTCGCATAGCCCGGTGCAGAACCACTTTACGCCTCAGCCGAGCAAGTCGCCGGCCTTTCAAGGCGTGCGGTCTCCGAGCGTGCCGAACGAACTGCATCGATCGCCTCCGGACCAGACCACCGGATCTTATCTCCCTGTGGCCGAACACTATGGATACCGTGACATGAGCCTGCCGCCAGGTGCTCATGCAGGGGGAATCCCCAACTCGGCGCCCGGACACTTTACATCTTTCCCTGAGGCATCCTCGATGCCCCCCGAATCCTACCCTCAACAACATCAGCAACCACAACAGCAATTGACCCCCCAGCACATCCCGATGGGAGTACCTCAACCTCCTTTGCGACCTTCGAGTGCAGCCACTGTGCGGCATTACGGTACGGAGATGCCCCGATCATTCAGCTCACCCATCTACCACGGTGGTCCACCCCCTTTACAAACCCCTCCTCCCCCGCAACATCAACCACAACACCTACAACACCAACCTCACCCACAGATGGCTCCGCCACCACCCCCCAACGATCCCAACGTTTACCCAAATGGAGGATACGCCTGGATCAAACAGGACCCAGACGCCGTCCCCGAATTAGATTGGAATAATGGAAACAAACAGCAAGATGGACTCGATTACGGATCTGTACGATACCAATAATGCTCCTGGTTTCCGTGACAGGAAGGGGATTCGGCGATTCAAACGCGCAGATCTGGGGCAGTCTATTCAAAGCCTTCTGTAGAGAGGTATTCGCGCAATTGTAACAAAAATCGACTCATTCCGGGGTTCTTCTCGTCCTCTTTATTACGCATTCAAGGTTGTATATATTCGGCCAAACACCATGAAGATCCTTTGATGATCAGGATCTATCTATTTCTACTTCGTCCCGAACAGCTTGTAAAGAGGCTGAGGAACAAGAGCGTGGGAGCGAACCAGACCCGATAACCGCATCTTAGAAATCGCTTCTCTTCGGCGCGTATTACTTGCTTGGTCGGAGCCATCCCTTGGCTGGCGAGAAACAGGAGCGGACCAAGACAGACTATGTAGAGTGTCACGCAATCAGTTTGCTGGCTGGTCAGGTTGGAGTGCGAAGCCCTACTACTACTGACTGTAGGATCCTGTGCCTAGCGTCTGGTCGGACTCCTTTGTCATGATGCAGATCGTGAACACTCCGATATTGACGATCGCGATGCAAAGAATGCCGATGGCTTCGCCCAGCTTGATCAGACTGCTCAGGGTTCTCTGGAACGTACGCATGCTGGGAAGGTGGTGGTGTATCTTATACCATTTGTGCCGCTTCTCTGCGCGATCGTCCGCTGCATGCTTCGCCTTTGAAGGAAACAAAGCTAGTATGGATCCGAGGGCGATCCAGAGCCACAACACGGACGTGCCCAGAGCGAATTGCGTCATGGCTATCAATGCTAGGTTGGGAGGTATAGGGGCTGATAATCTGTGTCAACGTTAGAACTTCGCTGAATTTGCAACGCTCAAAGTCTTACAGTGCGTATGAAACCATCTTGAGCAAGTGGTTCCTTGGCAGCTAACTGCATCGACATAGCATCGTCAGATCTATTTCGTTGTCTAGCACAATCGCGATGCCGACTTACGAAGCAGACTCATACAGGAACTGTCTTCAGAGCTTCCGATCAGACAGGAGAATGCCGAGGTGGTGTCCGGCGTCAAATAGATCCACATCATGAGCAGCAGTGTCGTCACTACCCGGTAAAAGCACAGAGTACCTCGATGTGCCAAGGGAAGTGGGGCTCTTCGGGATTGCTCTTCGTCAGAAGTCGATTTCCGTTCTTTCGAATCCAGAACGTCGTTATCATCGGAACTCTCATGTCGCTCCTCCTTCTCCTCGATTTCAGGTTTGCGGGGCTTTTCAGCCATGCTGTGTCTAGAGCACGACCAGTCAAGCGCAGAAATGATGCTGTCGGAGGACACGTCAGCCGTTGAGATAAACTCTTTCGTGGATCCATCATGGATTCTGGATCGATATTGGCTGATCTGTACGATACAAGCTGTCTAGGCACCTGACAAAGGGGGATGAAGTGAAACGCCTCCTCGTCGCACCTGAAACCGTCGTTCCGAGGGTGACGTGTCTTTTCTTGGCGACTCTGATGTTGGCACCCACATCGTAAACAAGACCCAGCTTCATCCATGGCGACCCGATATATCGACCTGCTCAATGTCACTTTTGCTGTCAAGCGAGCTCTCGCGGTCGGATCATGACTACTCGCAGGCGTGTCTTTGCAGCTGAAGCTGAAGATGTCGAAGATTCGACGCTGGCAACGCGGGATCTGGACGACTTACTAGGTACGCAAGCTTGGTGCTGAACGATTCCTTAGCTGTAAGGAGAGAAGGCTGAGGCTCTATGGGAATATAAAGCCCAGGAAGCACTTGACGAGCAAGGTGAGATTCATTTGACTTTCTTGAACACAGGTAGCTAGAGTTCTGGCTGACCACGACTCAATCCTTTATCTTTCAGAGCAAGATCGCCTCATCGCCGGTCTAGAGAGTCTGAACTCCAGCCAGAAATATCGCAATGCGGTGGTGATCACCTCGTTGACTCTGGCATCCCTGATCGTGTAAGTCTCTAATCCGGGGCAATGGTATGTCTGTATGCTGACCAAATTCGACAGATCGACAATCATCTTGCTTCGTTATGCCGTCTCCAGCACCATCACATCACGGCTATCAATATATCTCTTGCTGAGCATAGCAGGACACCTACCCTTACTAGAAGCACAAGCCCGAACCGCTTCATTCGTTCTCCGCGGAAGTGGCACACGGAGACTAGCCGACCTAGTACATCTGGATACCAGGATCATACTCCTTTGGCACTCCGTGTGTCCCGCCGCGATGTTTCTGCAGCAAGAACCATGGACTATCATCGTGCGGGCATCCATCCCCTTCTTCCTCACGATTTGCACCATATACATGGCTCAAAGCAATGCGGATCTGGACCTGGAAATTGCTTCGCTGAAAGCAAAGAAATATGGATTGCAAGGCGCATGAGGCAGCGAGGCGAGGGACAATAGAGAAAGTCAAGCTCGAATTCCAGGAGGTGACTCGTTCAGCCGCGAGCCTACCATGAGTTCTACCGTAGATCAAATACAACTGCTTCATCTATCTAGATACAAGATTATGCTATGCGCCCTCGTCAGAGAATGATTTGTCGAATTGTCAAGCTGCTATGCCCCTTCGCCAGAGAACAGGTTATCAAGCTGCTTGTTTCCATCAGCCATCTGCGGCGCAAAGACCTCGAACGCGGTGCGGTCTCCCTTAGTCTTCTTGTCCTGCTTCGCCGCTTCGGAACTCTGCCCAAGGAGACCAGCAGACCAGCCCTGTTCTCGGGCATAGGCCGCGGGAGATCTGTCGAGAAGCATATCGAGATCCTCGTCGCTGCAAAAGGGCATGCTCAGCTACACGCTCGAGAAGACCGACCCGTCCGCTTTCGACTTACCTGATGACTCGGTCGTCCTTTGTTGCGAGGGTGATCTCCTCGCTATCTAGGTCTAGGAGCTCCTTCGCCATCTCTTCGACCGACTTCGCTTTGCCTTTCGCCTCTCGACCGAGAAGGATTTCTCCGTTGGCGCCAACAGCCCCGAACTTGCCCTTCGAGATGACCATGGCTTCCAGCTTCCTCTTGTTGCCCGCCGCTTTCAAGATCTTGGTCTCGATCGTGTCTGTATAAGAAGAATATGAAGTGAGCTACGGCATTACGTCCGTCTCGCTGAATTCGACTCACGAGCTGTCACCAGTCGAAAGACCAGTACGGGTCGAGTCTGACCGATACGATGAGCTCGATCTTGAGCTTGCAAATCCGCTTGAGGGTCTGATAGGAACAATAGCAACGTCAGCGACGATTTGACAGCGGATCTGTAAACTGCCCACGACGCTGTCATCAACTCACTCCAGTCTTGGTCGAAAAAGATCACGGTGTCGGCAGCGACCAGATTGATTCCCAGACCCCCAGCCCGGGTAGACAAGAGGAATAGCTTGCAAGCGTCGGGAGAGTCCCCAGCGTTATTGAACTCCTCCATTTGCTCCAGTCGATCGGGCTGTTTCGTGGTACCATCGATTCGGAAAGTCTTCCAGTTCTGTGGTGGGTTTCCACATCAGCCATGACTTTCTGCTCGATACCGCGATCCGAAACTCACCTTGAAGATGTTGGCCCAGTCTTCCTGTGCAGGTGACCAAGGTCATGATTAGCTTTGTTCGAGCGCCCGAGGGTCTTGAGTGACGTACTATCACATCCAACATCGTCGTGAATTGGGAGAAAATCAGAACTTTGTGACCCCGGTCAAAGAGAGCATCGAGCAGCCTCTGCAGCAGCAGCATTTTGCCGCTTGCGTTGACCAGGTTATCGTCGACGATGAGATCTCCAGTATCCTGATCGCGAGGCCAATCGAAGAGGAAAGGATGACTCGAAATCTGCTCATACAATTGCGTGTCAATGGCTATATCGCACGCCTGCTTCTAATCCAGAAACTTACCTTTCTAAGCTGCATGATCATATTCTGCAGTTTCATGTTATTGACGGTTTTATCTAGATAGACGCGGGGCTCGGCATCGTAAGCGATTTTTATGGCCTACGTAATCAGATGCGGCTACTTACTGGCCTCCTTGACGGCCCATTCTTGACCGAGTTGTCGAGCCGTCTTTTCGATCTTCGGAGCAACCATGTTCATCTTGGACGCATCACCGCTTTCGATACCCTCGAGGAAATCCTTGTCGTTACTATCCCTCGAATAGTCGAACCTCGCCCTCTTGGCGAGCCTGCGACTCGAACGGTTTCCAGTCTCCTCGGCCTCGGTTTCTGACGTGGCAGCCGAGACATCATTGGAATCGTCTTCCAGGTCGGCACCTCCATCGGCAATTTTCTTCGCGATGAGGTAGTCTCGGATCTCGTGATTGACAATAGCCTTGTAGATGTCGTTCTGCTGCTGCGTTAAGGGCGCATATAGCAGATATTCTTTCTTCGGAGGCAGGTTCTGCTCGACTTCCGTCTTGAGTCGCCGCAGCAAAAAGGGCTTGAGGATGTTGTGCAATTGCGTGACGATCTCCCCTTGAGCCAGAAATTCGCTGTTGCCGCCCTGCTTCATGTCTTGGAAGTCGAACCATTGCTGGAATGTGTCTAGGTCGTCGAAGATATCCGGCATGATAAAGTTCAAGAGGGACCACAGCTCGCTGAGGTTGTTCTGGTAACAGGGCGAAGCGAAATTAGACCGGTAGCTCTCGGTATGTTGTTCGGCGAAGTTCGCTCACATGTAGCGGGGTACCCGTCAACAACAATCGATTTGCACTTCGGTACGACTTCAGCTCTTGAATCAACCTGTACGTCATCCTATTCAGTAAAACCGAGCTGATATTCAGAATATCTAGAATAGGAAACAAATCTCACTTGGAGTTCAGGTTCTTTAGACGATGTCCCTCGTCGACAAAGATGAACTGCGCAGATCACCCGCAATATCAGCATTGGTTTGCTATGTCAGGACAAAGGGATCAGACCTGACTCACCTTCCACTTGTATCGACTGAGGTATTTCTGATCCTTGATGATCATCTCGTACGTGGTACAGATCTAAAACCCACCGAAGCTATTTAGCAAGCGGAAGTTTGTTTATTCATCTGGAGGAACTCACAACCGGGAAGACGGGAATGGTACCGGTCCCACCAGGAATCGGCTTTTTACGAGCGAGCGGAATGTCCAAAAGATGCGGGCCCATCTTCTTTTCACGGAGCTCGGCACGTTCGGCTGGGGTACCGTGATACATCAGGACCTGTTGTGCAATCCAGAAAGGTCAGCGGGAATAAGAAGTGTGCTCAGACAAGCAGGGCTTACCGGCACAAGGGGAGCGAATTTCTGAAATTCCTTGATCCAGTTGGAGAGGACTGATAAGGGACATGCCACCAAGAACGGTCCGTGTGCGTTGTTATTGATCAGATGGCACATAAATGAGATAGTTTGGATCGTCTAAGATCGGTTCGAAATGGCATCAGCTACATGGCTTAGGATCGCTGCAAGTGAAACGGACACACCTTTCCGAGTCCCATCTCATCCGCCAAGATCCCGTTCAACCCGTTTTCATACAGCGACACCATCCACTGAACACCGGCCAATTGATACGACTTTAACGTGGCCCCGGTGACCAACGCAGGCTGTTCCCCATGATACGGCTTCTTGGCTTCGGCCTCGTCGTCCACTCTGGGAGCCTTTTCCTCTTCGACCGGCTCTCCTTCTTCTTCCTTGACAGCCTCTTTCGCTGACGACCGCTTCCTCTTCGCCGGTACGGAAACGGAAACTGCAGGCTCGGCCGAATTGGTAGGATCCTCCTTCTTCGCCGTCGCACGAGCGGTAACCCGCCGACCTTGTCCAGCGGTAGTCGCAGCCTTTTGCTCCTTGTTCAGCTTCCTCGTAGCCGCCTTTTGTTCGGCTTCGACCCGTTTCTTCCTCTGGATCTCCATTCGGTCGCCGATGAGCTTGGCGTACACGCCAGACTTTTCCAAGAGGAAGTTCAGTCGGTTTTGCCTTTGAGTAGCCTGTCGAACATCAAGGTCGTGCGGGTCGCGTAAGCACGGGTTCATATATTTGAAAAGCATCACAGAGCGACCGCTGACCTCGAAAGACGTTTCAGCCGGTGTGGCCTGCGCCTGGACCTGAGGAGCAGGTTTCACAACCTCGGGCACGTAGGCAGCATCGTCCCCGTTGGTCCCCTTGCTGGTTCCAGTCCCGTTGACGCCATTCTCATGTATCTGACCGACTGCTGACTTTGTATCTCCGTTCATGGCTTCGGACGTTGATGTCATCCTTTCTGGTCGTATATCTTGGATAGACTTAGCTCTAGCTATCGAGGTGCCTTTGCTCGAGTTATAATTGGCAGCTGAGGGTTCTTCGATCGGAGTAGGTGAGTGGTGCTTGAAGCGTCAAGAAGCCAACCACTATATTCGCCCTTCTACCAAGTCCTGATCCCGGAGTTGCTGCTTCTTTATGAACTTCGTTTACAACAAAGGGATCGATTCAAGAGTGGTAGTAGAGGGTGAAAGGGCGGTGTGCGTTCCTTTGTGGTGGTTTCCGCCTTGAAGAAGAAGAAGGACCTCCCCAGTCGGTTTGCAAGATTTCGGGCGAAGCTAACTCGCTTCAAAGGTTGACAGGATATTTATGATTAAATGATGGTCAAGAAACCAATTGCTGGTAACAGCTTTCGATTCGATTACGATGCACACTTGGTGCTTCTCGACCACACTAGCCACACTCGTCGAGGTCGATCGAAATCGAGAAAGGGACGGGGGAAGCAAGCAAAGGGGGCCATCACGCTAAATTGTCCAAAGTGCAAAGAGAGTGAGAGAGTGGCGCGTCGCGCGTCACTTTGAAAACAAATCGAGCCAAGATCGCTTACTCTTAGCTACTCTAGATTCATTCAGATGTCGACAGATGGTCAGATGACAGACCACGATGCTGTAGCTCCTCAATAGATGTGGGTTCCGTCCGGTCAGCTCTCCGCTCTTCCATTGCCCCACCGGCTAGGGTCGTAAGAAGAATTGTTAATAATAAGGGGCTTCAAAGTTAAGAAAAAGTCACACGCGTCTCCGCGCGGCAAGTCCCCAAATGCGGGGCCCCACAGCCAGATCGCATCGCACCTACCATCGCAGGTCGAAAGGGTTCGAGACCCTTCGACCTGCGATGGTATGTTGACTGCGATAGCTTTTACTCGTCTGTACATGCCTCTAGACCTATAGATTTACAGCCATAAGATCGCCAGACGACCCAGGAGCCCATTGACGGTCCTTACGATGTCTGGGGTGAGTTTGTCGATGACCTATAGCTTCATCAAATCGTCGTGTCGAATCGCCAGCCATTTCGACTACTTGCCCGATTGGGTCTTGTGGTGGTAGACCTATGCACTACCCCTTTCGGCAACACCTTATGATCAAACGACTTAAAGCCCATGCATATGAGCTTACACTTTCGTCCTATTCTTCTCCGGTATGCTTATAGACCTCGCAAACCTCTCCACCGCCTACAACTCTGGCTCAAACAGCCAATCGACCGATCATTCGTACCAGATCTCAGACCATCATGCCGCCTCCCTCTTTACCCACCTCTTCAGGCAGACCTCTGTCTTCTTCATCTACTTCAGCCCGACCTGCTCCTGGTGGACAGAAACGGAACTCCACTGGCTTCGCATCTCCAATCACTCATCAGCCCAAAAGGCTGAAGTCCGGGCAGGACCGAGCAGGTACTCCAATCTCCGCTATCGATCCAACCTTGATGAACCAGACGTCGGCACCCTCATCCATCCCTCGCAATGTCAAGCCAACTCTCAAGGCAACGTCCTCGGCCGGGGGAAATAGCAAAACGCAATGGAAAAGTCTGACGACGGATGATGGATCTCAGAGTGCGGAAGACATCGTGGTTGAATGGTTGATGGAAGGCGAGAACTACGACAGGTACAAACACCTACAAAAGTCGGCAAAGACAGGATGCTGCGAGCAGATCTTAGGAAGGATTAAGGAGGCTGGAATTTCCTGCGATAAAACTCCCTCGATGGTGGAGTCAAAGGTATGTCACATGAGACATCTACTTGCGAACGAACGCTGATGTCTGCTCTCATCGTTCTCCTCTTACAGATCAGGGGTATCACAGAGGCATGGCGGGAAGCCGATACGGAATGGTTCTCAACTGGGAACGGGGTCACTCAGCAGGATGTTGATGAAGACGAAGCAGAGATGACAGAGGACGAACGAGAAGTGAATCAGCGGAAGAGACGAGACCGGGCGGCCTTCATCGGTAAGTCAGCTATCTCACTATGCCTTTCTCTCTGGTAGGCCGTGCTCATCTCAAACGTATACCGCACAGCCAAATTCGAGAAGAGGTTCCCTTACTACGAAAGGCTAGCTCCTATTCTCGGTTCTCGTAACATCAATCGCCCTACCACTCTCCTCGAGACCGGCCGAGAGGATTCGGTCCCAGTCGAAACACAGCTCGGACTCAACGTCCAACCAGACGAAAACAGCATCGGCGGTAGCAGCAGAGGAAGTGGCGATTCTAGAGGAGTGCTGAGGAGAACACCTTTGGTGGAGCCCTTGGCGAGCCGGAAGACGATCCCAATTACGCCTACATCTTCTCGGCTGAAGCGGAGAACGATTACGAGACCGACGACGAAACCAACGCCTCCAACATGTTATCTCTCACTAAAAAGAATCAGCTATCTCCGACAGGCTCGGCCTCTTCGAAGTCGACCTCCCGCTCGACCAAGAGTGCCAGCCGTGATCCCGCTCTTATCTCTCAAGCGGGCAAGAAGGCCAGGAAGGAGAACGTACCTACCGATGACTTCATCACGCCTATCACAAGGATGATCGAAGCGAGCACGGCGATGGATTCGAAGATGCTGGAGGCCGATAGGGAGTACAAGATGCGGACCGCTTCTCTAGAAGAACGTCGAGTTGCTCTCGCAGAGAAGGAATACGATGACAAGATGGCCGAGAGGTCCGCAAAGCGTCGACAAGAGGAGCTCGACCATGAGAGCAAACTCAGGATGGCAGAGGCTGAGCAGGCTATGAAACTGAAGGCCGAACAAGCGAGACAAGACCGCGAGTTGATGGCCCAACGCTTGTCTGCCTTCGAGAGGTACTGCGCACTGGGACTGGGTCCTGCCGAGGCCAAAGAAGCTGCTGGCTTATAAGGTATGTCATCTACACATCGTCATCGCTCTCGTCAAGGTATGCAAACTCATACCCCCGCTGTTCGGCGCTGTGTTTTACAAAGCGTCGCCGTCGATCATCCTGCCCCCTCGGAGCTTCGCCCTCCTCCTCGCCCGCCTCCAGTCCGATAAACTCTTCCCACTCTGCTCGCACTGCCGCTGCCTCCTGTTCGAATGTCGCCAACAGCCGGTTCATGTCCTGTCCCTCCCAGAAATCGTCATCTGGGTTATCGGTTACGAAATTGTGTAGAATCAAGGCCGCTCGCACCCAGTTAAGGGCTCTATTCAAATCGATTTGGGTGTCGATTTGACTTCTCAAGGCCCTCAAGGACTGCCAGCGCATCTTGAGCATCCCGAAAGCGTGTTCTATGATCACCCGAACAGCTGACAGCTTTTGGTTAAAGCGGTGTTTGTCTGCGGCTAAGTTCGCGTTGCCTCTGACTCGTTTGAACGGAGTTACGACGTTGTCGGTGAGTTGAAAGGCGGAATCCCCGATGATCCACTGTCCGCGGGAGAAGAAGCGCTGGGGGTTGAGGACGAGCTGAAGGTTATTACAGAGAATGAGCTTGCAGAAGACGTAGTCACCCAGCCGGTTCTTACATACCTGGGTGTAGCCGAAGACGCGGGCGTCATGAGCCGAGCCAGGAAACCCCAACAACGCGTACCGAAAGCGTTTCTTCTGATCACAGCATGCCATCAAGGCCAGCGAATAGAATCCTTTATAGTGCCAGAAGTCGACTGAGTCCCTCAGACCCGGCCGATATTCCAGCGGAATTTGCGTGCCGTCGACGAATCCGACGCAATCGGCAAATGGGGAACGTCGTCCTACTTCGGCTGCGATTTTGCGACGCTCACGGGTGTCGGGCCAGGCCAGGAGGTGAGTGAGGTTGTTGGTTATGGCTGCTATACACCGTAGACACCACAGTTCAACAGTACCCTCTGTCGATAGGTGCCAAGGTCTCAGTATCAGCCCACCGCAGTCGAGCCGCAATCAAGACATACCTGCTATAGCGAAATCCCTCGCCATCTGCCCGACTGACACTCCGTTACCTCCCATGCCCATCCTCTTTAGTGTCATTAACAGTTGATACTCGACAGGTGCTTGAGGGTTCCTCGAATTGTTTGCAAAGACTGGGTCGTTCTCGATGGCGGCCGACAGCTGGAAGAAGCACGGCTTACTCATACGAGCCTGGATCGTTTGTGGCAGTGAGGAATATCCGGGTCAGTAGACTAGCTCAGAACTGATTGTCCTGGGAGCTCGGGATGCTTGCTCACCATCTGCTTGAACCAGTTATCATCCATGTGAAAGTAGTACTCGAAGAGGGGGTTCCGTCTGGCTCGAAGTTGTCGGGAAGGACCTCGATAGAGGTAGCGGCTGGACGTCACAGCGTGGAGCCGTTCAGCGACGCAGAGTAGACCCATTTGCAGAGCCTGAGACAGACGTTTGTCTCTCGCAAGACGATACTTTATCAGTTCAGGTGAGCCGAGGTCAGGGAAGAAGTAGGCACGTCTGATGTTGTGTCGTTTTGACAGCTCCTGCATCAACACGAAGAAGGCGACCTGGCGGGTTTGGCGAGTCAGCGACTCGATAGCGAGCTTGCGGCGAGATGTCTTGGCCATGGTAAGTGCTATGCTGATTCGTGAGTCGGCTGTAGCTATCCTGCTGACGCTATCGGCTAGCCCAGTCGATATAGAACAGAGCCGCTACATGAGTCGGTCGACCATCTCGTTGTTGTGTTTGTTCTAAGTCCACAAGAAAACGGTCATCAAAACAGCTCGAAGTCCGCTTTTGCTTCGGATCCGAGCCAAAATTAATCCGAGACATGAAATTTGGGTCCGGAGCCGGAAGTACATGCGTTTTTATCGTTTTTCGAGAACGACATCACAATTCACGTGAAAAGTCGCAAAGGGGACTCAAAGTCCGGGACTTTTTAGGGCGTCGCGATCACTTCGCACCGCGGAACGCGCGAGTGAGGTTTGAAGCCCCTTAATGAAATCATGAATCACAAGCCAGCTTGATCACGTCAAATCTAAAGGTCATATACAGTGTTAGGAGCTCATTGCGGTTCATCGTACTCAGAACACTAGAACGATTCTTGCACCGATTGCACCAAAACGTAGCACGCGCGATCATGGAGCCTCACTCAATCGCGCACAAACAAGCCTTCAACCGCTGATATTTCGGGTCGTGCTGGTCCTAATGGTGTCAATGAGTGAACGTATTCATTCATCTACAAAACCCCCCATCGGGCGACACGCGAGGTGACAACAAAAGATCCCCCCCGTATTTCTCCCAACAGGCACCCATGCCTACAATGATCAGAATCGTTTAGATGAATCCGATCTGTAGCACCAGGATTACGATCAGTACCAAAACCTCGACTGGGAAAAGCTCAACGCGACGACTCACCTTGTTGGCAACGTCGAGAGCGTCGTGGTCGGCAGTGAGTCGGACGTAGGCCTTCTTCTTTCCGTCAGGTCTAAAGATTCGCAAGAGAAAAAGGTCGAGAACATGTCAGCCGATTGCAACCCCCGACAGGTCTCCCCCGAAGCAGGACACGTGGCGCAACCAAAAATACCCACCGGATCAAAGTCCTAATCTTCAAAGCCTCGACGTCGTACAACTTCTTGACGGCCTCCTTGATCTGCCTCTTGTTGCTCTTCAAGTCGACGATGAACACCAACGTGTTGTTCTCCTCGATCTTCTTCATGGCGGTCTCGGTGTTCAAGGGGTGCTGGATGGTCCTGAACTGGTCCATCCTCGGCAAGTGGTTGACCGATTTACGCGGGTATCGGGGGGATCGGGCCAGGGCGAGGGTCTTGGGTCGGTGGAACGAGACCGAGGTTCGGACCTTGCGGACCGAGGTCGAGTTGGTACCCTTCAAGGCGGCCTTCTTGGCGGCCTTGGCCTTGACATCGGCGGGCTTGCCGGCGGCTGCGACAGGGAGTTCAGAGGGGGAAAAGGTCAGCTTACAATTTGCGTTTGCGCACGAACCGGAGCGCAGGGCGACGAGTGTGGGGCAAGTGGTCGGGGGGATGCGAGGCGAGGCGAGACGAGGCGCAAGACGACGAGGACGAGACCGGGTCGAGCAGGGTGCCTCGAGCGAGAACGATCGGTGCAAGCAGTGCGGGCAAGAGAGTGCGAGTGCGTGTGTGCGTATGTGCATATGTGCGTATGTAGCAGTGTGTTTGTGTGTGCGTGTGTGGGCCGATAGGCGGCTTGAGATCGATTTAGACGTGCTTTCAACGCTTTTTCCATCCTTTAACCATTGTCGCCCATAATCGACCAATGTGACCGGATTGGACCGCCAAGTTCGTTTCTTCCCTCTTTCACCGAGATCTTCTGCATGACCCGTTGGACATCCTTTCTCCTAGCCGGACAAAGTGTATTTGGCCGCCCCTGTGGCCGAAAGTCGAACAGAGGTTTCATTTGGCGAAATACGGTATACTATTTGTTTGAAGGTTGGAAGGATGTGGATGACGGCGGGTATGCTATCACCACGACCGTACGTTGTCGATAAGACATTTCTCCCGCTCCATGCTGGTCCAACTGGTTCACACTGGTTTTGCGCTGGATCCTCGTAGTCCGGGTGCGCCATCTTGATCTTCCTTGTCCTCCTTTGCACGCACACACACAAACACGCTCTTCTTGATGATGCCCGCACTCGCAGTTCCCTCTGCACCGATCCTCCTCGTTCTCGCCGTGTCCTCTCCCTGACTTAGAGCTCGGTTTCCGTCCGAGTCTTCTCTCGTCCCAGCCATCCTCATCTTCATCTTCATCGCCATATCTCGCACGCCCCCTTCCCACTTGCACCCTCTCTCCGAAACGAGGCCGACTCGTCCTCGTCGCCCCCTTCCCGACCCCCCGAAAGTTGGATGGATGAGAAACGCACTCTTTCCGTTGTTGGTAGGAGCCATCTTGCTGATCCTTTTCTCGTCTATCTTTTTCTGAGGTAGATGCCTGTAATGTAGTGTAATTCGCGAGGAGTTGATTAGGACGGCGTGTTCGATTTCGATGAAAAGAGGGATTGGAGAGGGTATGTATGTGCTCACCGGAGTGGTTGCCTGGGGGGGAAGAGGAGAACGGCAGACGAGGGGGAGGTTGGTGGGGGGGACGTATGGACAGTTTGTTTGACGTCGAGATGGAGGTCCTTCCCCGAGCAGGCTGGCTCCCAGAGCAGAGCACGGCACAGGGTGGGGTTGCTAGGGGCAAAAGCTGCTGGACTCGCTGAGAGAGAGAGGGTCCAAGGTGGAAACAAGCGAGAATCAAGAGAAGCAGACGCGCTTGAGGTTGGTTCGCGCTTCTTTCCGACAACGCGAGAGACGTCGATTTTGAGAAAGATCGACGCGTTTGAGAGTGACGAGTCGGACTTAACCTGAAAAGATTCCGGGGTGAGTCGGAAGTTTATCGTTTTACGTGATTCCGGAGGTACGGCATGACGCGTCATTTACCTTTGAACGCGACGCGTTTCGACACGAATCATCGACATCGACACCTTGCACCTCTGCTTCAACCTCGGTATCAGCCTATGCTACATACATCACAATCTTGGACATCTACCAAACCCTCTCCCCCGCTACAAATGTCACTCAAACGATCTCCATCCCCTACACCGCTCACCGAATCTACCTCGGCCAACCCAGCTAAACAACCCAAGATGAGCTCGTCTGCCATCATCAACACGCCGACCCCGTTGCCAGCTTCGGCCGGTATGCAGGTCAAACGTCTGAGCGAACGGGCGACCTTGCCCACTCGTGGGAGTCCTCTTGCGGCGGGTTACGACCTTTACGCGTGAGTTACCGCTATCTCTACTTTCCTCCTGGTCAGTCTCTGTCGAATACCTATCTCTGATCACCTCATCTCGATTTGATACCACCCGCACAGCGCCGAGGGCAAGACCGTCCCCGCCGGCGGAAAAGCCCTCGTCGACACTCAACTATCCATCGCAGTCCCCCTGGGGACGTACGGCCGAGTAGCACCTCGATCGGGCTTGGCGGCGAAACATTCTATACATACCGGCGCTGGGGTGATCGATGCGGATTATAGGGGGTGCGTTTTTGTGTTGTTGTTCAATTTGGGCAAGGAGGATTTCGTCGGTGAGTCCCGGGGGTGCTGTCTTTGAAGAGTCTTGGACTGGGAGGAGGAAGAGATGATAGCTGATTTGGTGTGATGTGTCTCGCTCGTCCATCTTTACCTCCTTCTCTTCGCTTCTATTGTCTTCTCTCCTATCCCTTCTGCTTTCATTTCCACCTCACCTTAACCCCCATCCGCCCGTCCCAATCACCCCGACCTGACCTTCCTCCGACCTGACCTCCCTCCGAACTCGTAGTCAACGCCGGCGACCGTATAGCCCAACTCGTCCTCGAACAGATCGTCACCCCCTCCATCATCGAGGTCGACGAGCTCGACACGACTATCAGGGGTTCGGGCGGGTTCGGCTCGACCGGTGGGTTCGGGGCTACGGCTGCTCAGGTGGTCGACCAGGCTGGGGAGGCAGCGCAACACGCAGGAGAAACGGTCAGACAGCAAGCGGGGATCGTCGGGGAAAAGGTCGTCGAAGGCGTTCAGGCTGTTGGGGAAGCGTTGATGGGTGCCGGTCAGGCGCAGGCCAAGTGAGATTCCTCAATGAGGTTTTGTATTTCGATCGCCATGTAAAGAGAGCTGCAACTGTAGAGCGGGTTCAGGTTAGGAGGTTTGGGTTTGCAGTTCGTTTGTCGGCTGTTTTTGAATATACCATTTTACGTTCTTTCTTTCTTTGGAATGGAAAGCCGGACCCGGAAGGGAAAACAGAGCATGAAGGTGGTGACAAGGAGGTTCAGATGTCTAGATTGTCTTGAATTTCGGGTCGGCTCGCCAAAGTTGAGTAGAGGTAAGAGATGGAATACGAGACCGAACGACCGGGCCGGCTCGCCGCGATGATCAAGTAATAGTAAGGTTGGCGCTCGATGCACTGCAACAAATACCTACGACAACAACAACAAACGCCCTGCTCGGCGCCAGCACGATGCTGGCTCGAATGCGATTTAGGTATATGGATCATCACGGCCACACGATCTTGAATCTACTGGATAATGACAAAAGTCAGGGTCCATCCTGGTGAGACACGCTCAATATCAGTACACGACGGTTGGCGATCGAAGATCAGTGACCAAGGAACCGGATTCCAACACTTGTATACAAGTTACACGCATACACGATGTTTGTCCCACGCCAAATCAGAAAGAACAAACAGGATCGGGAAGATCAGGACTTGAAAGATGTGGACCCGGACCCAAAGGAGAACCCGAAGGGCAAAGAGAACGCTCCAAACAATGACCCCGTTCATAGGAAAAGGAAATCGTAATCCGTTCACCCTCACCTAATCCTGTGTTCTCGCTCAGTTCCCCGTGGTCAGGAACCCTCCTCATTGACACCTTCTTTGTTGACGACTGCCACGCCCTCTGCCAAAGTCGAATGGTCAATGGCCCCTTGTCTTCGGGAGAAAGCAGGAAGAGGCAGAGACAGTCTTTGGAGACTAGCCGTAAAGTTATCGACTGCGACGACGAAGGCGATCGTCAGTTGACTGCCAACCAGTATGCGAGGCCGGCGTAATTTATGCGTGTCAGCGTGTCGTGCACACTCTTCTCGTTGTTGGTCATCATCGTGCCGATTCACGAATCACGTATACTTTCTCCATATGTTATGGGAAGGGGCTACTTCTCTGACGGTCCACGGAAGTGTACAAAGGGGATCGTGTATGGATTCTGGAGGCGGGTTGATTTAATCCGCTGAAGTTGTGCAATCTGCGCTGATACGATAGGTAGTGTGTCAGAGTGCTTTAGACTTGGAAGTCCTGATAGTTGAGCACGCGCAAAAGTGTCTGCAAGAGTCGCCTCCACAGCCTATGTGACGATCCTCCTGCTCGCACGGCTTGAGATCAGAGAACTTATCGATAATATTGTACAAACATCACAACTCCGACGATCTTGCGAACTGCTTTCTCAACGTGATAATATGTAGAGTGGATTTGATCCCAAGACCCAGTTGATTACGGAGAAGTAGAGGACGCTGGGAGGAGTAAAGACCGGATTGGGCGGCAAGGCATCGACGGTATCACAGACTCGCAAGTCAAATATGGAAACACTCGAGCACGAAGAAAAGGATGAGAGATGTTGACATGATGACGCTTTCGAGGATGTTGATGGTGAATACGAACCAGTCATGCTGATCCGGCCTGCAGCTCGGCGTCGGTGAAGACCATAGATGACTTTCGCAGGCGGTTGCCGATGCGCTTGCGCTTGCTTTTCCCGACTATACGGGACAGAATTGTGGTATTCACCGGTAATTTGGCAGGATTATCACATCACGCTGACTGTCATGATTTGTGTCGGACAAAACGGCTACAATTTGACTTCTTGCGACGCGGGATTGTGAAGCTGGGAAAGCGCAACGAGCTCTCAAGTCAGCTTACAACCCAGCAGCATGCCTCGCAGCTATATGGAAAACTTCTCGGCACCCTCTTTATCACTTCAACTAGAAACCTACCGTATCCAAGCTGAAGATTGAACGAGAATCAGACGTCGAGGTCGATCCTGCTACACCGTCGAAGGCTGAAACCTCCGCAAGCCACACGCGCGCGTCGGAAATCAACGAATAGGCCAAGAGCTGTGCCCGCGCCTAGAGTGGGATGATCTTGACAGACTGCCACTTGTCTCGGTTGAGCTCTAGGCGTACTGCTTCTTTCAGCCACGTTCAGGTGTATCCAGCGGGAGAATCTGGGGCGCCAGCAACAGCAGTAGTAGCAAGGGAGAGAGAAGTCACGGTAGTGCCTTCCTTCTTGTTGCGGTCCCGGGGATTGGGTTCGCCGAACCCGTGAGTGTATGGAACGCAAGACCGTGATCAACAAACTTGAGGGATCTGAGTGAACACAAGTCTCCTTGAAGGAATAGATTACGGGTCTTCGCACCTCTGTCTTAACATCCAAAACGATACCGATCGAGTTTTAAATAGATTTCACCATTTCATCCGGGTAGATCTGAGGCTATCTTACAATGCTGCAGCTTTGAATCCTCGCGTACCCAAACACTTGGGTTATTCTAATTCTCTAATTCGATCTTGAGCCCATGATACACTCTGGTCGTCACCTCGAGCAATTTGCAATGCCTTGCGAAGGGATGTGATGTCGGGTAGACCAGAGGAAATGGGTGAATGTTCTTGGGCAAGCAGGATGTGCTCCGCCGTCTCGTCTTCAAAGTACGGCCTCGAACAACCCGGAGGGTCTGTTTTTTCACATTTCCCACGGTATGTCTGATTAGCATACTGCATAGCGATTGGAGATTCTCGATATCACGAATACATAATTTTGCGACACCCCTCGACTGCACTCCTCAAAGGACCACTGTTGTCCGCGGACACTACTGTGCATGATGGCAGGTAGCCTGCTTCAGTCTGATTTGTCAGGGATGCGCTACGGCCCTGCATGCGAAGCGCCGACTAGCACAAGATGTGGACTGACACATCGGTGCTGGAGCTGTGAATAATGGAGCCCAGAGACGGTGTCTAGCGGTGCTTCAGGTCAACAAGCAGGAAATGTGCGACCACAGCTTATATTGGTCATTGTAGTCCCTGAATCAACATGCTTAGGAAATATCGGTCGACTGCAACGTGACGTCGGCGAAAAATGTGCATACATGGGTCAGGTGGTACAAACAAATAAAACTGTGGATACATCGTTCAGATCGTCATCAGGTAGGGTCGATAGATTTCCCCTCCACATTCTGTCGTGTCGCTTCATAATGCCAAGATCGAACCGAGGCTCAGCTTGACTTTTCGTTCCTTGACAAAGTAATCCAGGATCTCCCTCGTGGCGAATTTGAGAATCAACGCCTTGATCTCGTCCGTTATGACGGCGGCATTGGTCTGCATTTTACGCCGGCACCCTGTCGTGGCGATATGCGTCTCGACGAGATCTCGAACCATGTCCAGATCTCCTCTTCGCATTGCTATCTCCAAGGCTAGACCGCCCTTGTCGAATGGATTCCCCCCATATCCGATAAACGAGCGGGCCCAACCCGCCTGGTTTGTATAGACAGCATGACGTATGCCATAGGATAGGACCTTCTCGCTGACAACGTATTTTGATAAGATGTAGCAGGCCAAGGCGTCTGGTCTGGCTTCATCGCCTTCCTTCGGTGGGATACGCAAGACGCGGCGCGGTACGCTGTCGCAAGGGAGTCTTCCTAGCGGATAATTGCGTATGGACAGCGGATCGCTGTACATGGGTAGCAACGCCTTGCCAAATGGAGAAATAATGGGTCTCGGCTCGAAGTCTGCCCTATGCCACAGCACCAGCTCTTCCCAATGGTAATTGATGAGTTGCACCAGGTCGTAGTCGCAAATGGGGTGACGGAGTGCAAGGGAGAGGAAGCGTTGAGATCCTTGAGCGCCATATCGATTTGCCAACCATTGTACCGCTTGTAAGGGCGTATGGTCGCTCAGAGCAGCATGAATGTAACGGCTGACGCAAGGCAAGTCGGAAGAACCAGCGAGTTCATGGATTTGAAGCAAGAGCTATCCAATATCACGAGCAATCTTCAGTGAAAGGATTCAGGATGGCGAAACAATCGTTTGTAAGACTCACCTCGACTGGCAAATCCGTCAGCGTGCGTCGACAGGAATGATCGCTTTCCGACATCTCGGCCTTTACCTCGTCCGGCTTAGGCTCCCCGTCGGTTTCGATGCCCGCCAGTTCTGCTTTATTTACCGCCAGCTCTGCGCTGCAAGTCGCTACCTCGGACGAAGGTCGATCGACCGGTAGTCTAGCATCTCCACTCTCCTGAGACACTCTTTTGCCTCTCTTTTGCTCCGAGCGAGGTTTCTTTCGTCGGGGCTCTTCTTGCTTGACTCCAGTCGCAGCCTGTTTGCGTTTCTTGACGACGGTCTTGTCGAGACCGAGGCGGTCCGCCTTTCCAGTGAAACCGGGCAGATCAACGGGCCTGCTTTTCGATCGTTTCTGAGAGGCGAAGTTCGTTGACATGAACAAGTCCGAGAAGTAAAAGTGGTGTTGATACGTATTCGATCGATGAATCGAAAGACCAGATATCACAATCCGTCAGGGGTATCATGATCCAAGGGTCGAGGCAATAACGGGAACGGACATCTCACCAACACGGGAAAAATGATTTCATGTCCGCGCGTCTGAAACGCCAACCCAAACTGCAAAAGCCTAATAATATCGAAATCCCAATCTAATGTGCCATGACCATGTCGTCGTCGATACAAATCCAGCAAGATAAACAACCCGCCCAACTCAAGCTCGGCCCCCCGCAAACGAAGGTTCATCCTCTGCCTCCTCTCTCCGCGTCTCCCCGTGTTCTGTCGTCTCGCCTCCCTTACCCGCGTAGTGGTCTGCAATGCTACTTCTGCATCGTCTGTACCAGCCAGTCCAACCCTTCTTCCAGCCCATCCCCCTTGGTCGCGCAACTCCCTCGGACGGACCATTCTCTGCCCTTTTCACCTCCGGCCAGACCGAGCTTGTCCGAGATCTCGGCTGGTGAGAGGGCGCCTTCGACGTCCTGTCCAATGTGCACAAACGTCTTTATCAGCCAAGGTTCCTTGCTCTGCCACAAGGTGTCATAGAACAGAACGTATCCTGGCATGACATGGCGATATTGGGGACTAGCTCACCTGCTTGTTGGCGAACACGAGCACGGGCACGTTCTTCAGCTCGTCCTCGCTGAGCATGGTCAACAGTTCCGACCTCGACGTAGGTAGGCGTGATGTATCCGACGAGTCGATGACGTAGATGATGGCCTGTCGAAGACCCCGGTCCGAGCAGGTATCAAATCACGCACACGAAGGAGGAAGTGAGAAAAAGGACATTGAACGTCAGTTTCCGTGTCATAGCCAAATTGCAGATTGCAGGTCGGGGTAGCGCTTCAAAGAAAGATCAGATTGAAGAGACTGACTTGAGTGTTGGCGTAGTAACACCTCCAATACGGCCGGATACTCGATTGACCTATAATGTATCGTAAAAACAGATTCAACCGTACACCAAGCATCAGCTTTCTGATTTAGGCCTTGCGTTACGTAAAAGAGGAAGAAGGTTGTGTTGCCATCGAAAGGTTGAAAGGCAAGAGAAGAGGACAGGACAGAGGATGTAGAGTCAGAGCTCGTGGTACTCACCGCCCAAGTCCCAAACTTGGAAGTTGATATTCTTATAAGTCACCGTCTCCACGTTGAATCCGATCGCTATCGAAAGCAAGCAACAAAACACGAGCACGATCATAAGGTAAGTTTACGAAGAAAGAGATTCACACAGGGTTAGGACTGGCCATAGTTGATGTGATGATGGTAGGATAAATTTCATGTGTAGGACGTACTTGGGATGGTCGATACTACTTCTCCGATTTGTAGTCGGTATAGGATGGTAGTCTATGGAATGGCAAGACAAGATTTATAATCACGATCAGCTCCGAGACCGCCAGGATCGTACTCCCCTCCCCCGGGCGATGTCTCCGGGGGTCATAGAGCAAGTCTCCATGACGCAACCCCCCAGAAACGCAGGTCCTGGTAGTGCCTTTGAACTCACCTTTCCCGCCGAGTCCAGCCCGACCATCAGTATCCTCACTTCCTTGTCTTTCCCCCAAAACGACAACGACGTCAAGGCCGAGTAGAGCCGTGATACTGATACGCCCATCTTTTATCTTGGTATTTCAGTGATAGGAATGGTGGGGGAGAAGGAGAAGGCGAAAAGGCAGGGGTAAATGGGGTTGTTTTTTAAGTTGATTGGTAATATGATCCTCGGCCTGGAATGTTATCGGCGACCTGGTCGTCTCGTCACCCACAGCTACGATCAGCGGGACGTCATCTTACGCAGGTTGGATACGAAGTAAGTTGTCTTCCTGGGACTATGTGCTCACCTAGACCGATCCGATATCGGACGACACGAACTTTTCGAGCTCGAACACGGTCGAGACAAAAGGCGAACCGGGTTGGTCCGACGAGATCCCTGAAAGACTCCAAGACTCCCCGATGAAGCGCGAGATATCGGTATAGATTCTTGCACCTGTACTTTGGTGTTAGAAGGTAGATCTAGGGGCTAATGGTAGGTCGTCTATGCTGTTTGGTATTCAGTAAAGGATGGTGTATTGATGGCAAGGTAGACGTTATTTGCCAGCTGACAAGGATCGACCAGGACAGATCAACAACACACAACAGGTTCCGCGCGAACAGCGACCGCTACATGGATCATGGAATGGAGTACAGCCAACATATCGTCGTCGTCGACGTCACACAATCAAGTATTCTCTACAGCCATATCCACACCACTTGCTCACTCTCTAGTCAACCTCCTCTCTGGCAGTAGTCATCCTCTCAAGCTAGTCCTTCGTTCGTTCGCGATGTCTGCACCGGCACGAAGAGCGGTCCCACCACCTCCCGAGGACGAAGTCGTAGAAGGAGCTTCTCCGAGCAAGTCGACCTGGCTTCCGGGGCAGCACTCTGGCATATGAAGCAGATCCTGATGATATCCTCGCGCTTTCTTTGGCTGGCGTGTTGGTGCTATGCAGACGAACAGATCTTGTCGGCGGCAAAGGAGGACAACGAGGAGCTCTTCCTGGAAGCTATCGAGCAGGAGCACGATATCAACCACCAGGATGGGTGAGTCTCTCGACGTCAGCGTCACTGCAATCTGATGTGTGTTGGCTTGCTAATGATTGTGTTGTATCTTTGTTCTCAAATCTGGTAGACTTGGAAACACAGGTATGCTAGCAATCACTCCGTTCGACTCGTTGAAGAGTCATTCTGATGATTGATGACGTCTTGTTTTGAATCCAGCACTGCACTATGCGTAAGCTCATTCCCCACCTCCCGCCATCCTGCTCCTCAACCAAGCAGCTAACTTCATTCTGCTTCACAATTTCATACCTCGCATTTGCTCTACAATCGTACTACCACCACAAACCACGACCTCAAAAAACCGTGCAACAATGGAACAATCATATGACATCACATCACAGCATCATCTACGCCTCGACCACCGTCCTGGATCACATCCTCGAACACGACCAGTGCGATGTAGATTTGCAGAACAAGTTGCAGAGGGATACGCCGTTGCATCTGGCCGTCAAGATCGAAGAGAACGGGAGGGAGGGTTTGAGGGAGTATTTGGGTGAGTCTCGATCTTCGGCCATCGTGTCGCAGTGGTATGAGGTGGCTATGTGGGGTCCGAGCGAGCAGGATAGGGTGGGTGGGATACGCTGGAAGTAGGCAGGCTGATATGTGAAACGCTTTTGTGCATCGGTTGGCTTGGATGGAAATAATCAGTGCAACAGCTTGTGGATGCCGGTGCTAGTCCGATGTAAGTCGAGATCTAACCTCCTAGCATCTTCAGTCGAAACAGAGTCGCTGATGACCACAAGATCTGATATCCTTCTCTGTGAACGGCGATCGCTGTCTCATGCAGGATCCGCGATAGACACTCTTTACGACCCATCGACCTCCTTCCTCCACCTCCACCAGGTAGGACCGACAACTCGGAGGTCAGAGCGTTGTTACGAAGAGCCGAGGCGGAATTGCAGTTGGGTGGAGGTGCCGGTAAGAATAGCGACGTCGCAGACGGTGAGTTTCAGTCACCGAATCGTTTGCACAGCTGTGTGACTGAAGCACGTTTGATGCCGGGGGACTGATATTCTTGTGGTTGATCGACTTGGCAGACGACGACTTGATCGACGAAGGCGATATCGCTTCGGACGACGATTAGATTGTGAACAGTCCGTACTTCCCCCCCGCTCCTCTGCCATCATCTTGCCTACCGGTCGGCCTCGGCCTCGTCCGCGTCTGCATTTCCTTGCATGTATCCCCCGCTTGTTTCCCCTGCTGTTCTATATCCATCATTCCCGATCTCTTGACGATCCCTCTCGATCGAGCTTCCAACATGCAGCATCCGTCGGCTTTCAATTGGGGAGACTGCGAAACGCGGATGCAAGCACGAAAAAGGGTGGCAAGGGGTGTGACGACGTTTTAGACACCGAAACGGGCAAGACCCGAGCTTCGGTCGCGTCTCGGCGCCTCTTCCGCGAGAGACTCGACTCGGGGGATTTGGGGACGAAGTCCGCAAGGCCGCACGGTAATCAAACCCGCCACCTCGTCGTTGCGTGTGATGATGGAGGGTGGCAATCACCGAGCTACTGCGGCGATCACTGCGTAAACTCCACCCCTTGGTCTGCGAATGCGAATGCCAACTGCCGCATAGAGCCGGGAGCATCTTGATTTGTTTTCTTTGTCAAACGCAGATACAGATCGGCCTTGGCTCGGCGTGCCGAGATGGCATTTCGATTTGTGCGAGGGCAAGGTGACGTAGTCACGTGGTTTCTGGCAAGAAAATCCCCCGGTTGACCCTTGTTTTCTAGTTTGCCGGCAGCAACGTCACAGGCGCGAAACCGAGGCCACGTTACTTCCGGTGCCGGTATGGGGTGAAAAACGAATGGGCATCGAGGATCCCCATACGGGAAGTGAGTGGTAAACGCCGCCGTCGTCACGGTCGTCCGACCTGGAAATTTATCCCTGCCACCACAAGGGGTAGAGGCAATTCCACTCGGTCAAGCTGGTGAGGTCCCCCGTGGAGGCGCTTGGCGAGGTTCGCGTACGACGTCGATCGTACCCCCCTTCGAGCGACAGGGAAATGCTACGAAGGGGTTGCAGCCGCCATGCCGTACCCCCGTACCGAGAGCAGTCCGGTAGGGTAGAGAGAAGAAAGAGGGGGAAGGCTACGGGGGGGCGGACGCAGGCAGATTTTGATGGTAGCATGAAGGGACAGATCAAAAAGACTACTTAACCGGCAGAGGAGCCCCCTCGTTGAACTCGACCCAGGTCTCACCTGTGACTACTCTTTTTCGCCCTTTCACTCTTCATCACTCTTCACTTTTGCGACAACTGGAAGGCTATCGCACCTATCACATAACACCATTCCGACCTCCTAACCATGTCTGTACCAAACGAGAAGCGTGATGGTGGTTTCGAGGAAGTGCCGATTACCAAGCAGGAGCCCTACACCCAGCCAAATGCGTATGAGCTGTCAAACGACAACGAGCAGACCATCACGGGATCACCGCGAACCTCGACCGACTTGACCTCGACACCGAGCAAGAACGACCTGGCCGAGAGTCTCGACCCGGTATACGCGGCCAAGGCGACCGTCCTGAACAATGCGCTCAACGAGATTGGTATGGGACGATACCAATGGGAACTCTTCGGTCTGGTCGCCTTTGGGTGGGCTAGCGACAACTCGTGGTTGATCGTAACAAGTCTCATCTTGGCTCCCGTTGGCAACGAGTTCAACCCCTCCGAGCCGACTTTTTTGACGCTTGCCCAGAACATCGGTCTTTGTTTCGGTGAGTTTTTGAATGGGTTTCGTTTCCGCATACGCGTGAAAAATGTGCCTCGCGCTGATCGTCATCGATCTTTTTATTTGGTCTTCTCGTTGTCCGTCATGACGAAATAGGTGCTTTCTTCTGGGGTGAGCTTCAAGAGATGGCAGCAGACCTCCGAGAAAGCGGTAAGCCGTTGCTGACCGTCTTTCGGTTGTTTAGGATTTGGCTGTGATATCATTGGTCGAAAATGGGCTTTCAACATGACGCTCGGTATCGCCGCAGTGTTCGGTCTGGCCGCCGCTGGTTCGCCTACCTTTGCCGCCATCTGTGTATTTGACGCTCTCTGGAGTGTCGGTGTCGGTGGGTGAGTGTCGTAAGAGTGATCTTGAATCCAGCCAATCAACAGGTTGCTAACAGATATCTACCCCTATCTAGTAACTTGCCCGTCGACTCGGCCATCTTCTTGGAATTCCTTCCCGGAACGCATCAATACCTCCTTGTCGTGAGCCATCCACTTCCACCGTTCTTAGGGGTTCGGAAGCTGAATCTCTCCTTTATGCAGGTCCTTTCGACATTCTGGGCGCTGGCACAGCTAATCGCCAACTTGATCGCATGGCCCCTTCTCGGAAACTTTACCTGTGAACAAGGAGCCGCTACCTGCACAAAATCGGAGAACATGGGTTGGAGATACTACGTGAGTGCTCGACTTGAGTTTCTGAAGCCCCGGACATTTATCTGACGGACGACTCTTTTCGTCTACTCACAGCTCATCGTCATGGGAGGACTCGGAATGATCATGTTTATTCTCCGATTCTTCTGCTTCAAGCTTCAAGAACCTCCCAAGTACCTGATGGGCAAGGGCCGAGACGAGGAAGCCGTCAGGGTCGTCCATGCCGTGGCGAAGAAGAACGGCAAGACCTGCGACCTCACGCTCGAGGACTTGCAAAAGTGCGAAAACCTCTTTGTCGGACCTGCCGCCGGATCCCCTGAGGATGAGATCAGGAAGAAGATGGCTAGGAGCGGAGAGTCTGAAAAGCTCGATTTGCACCACGTCAAGGCCTTGTTCTGCGACAAGAAGACGGCTTGGTCGACCAGCTTGTTGATCATCATTTGGGGTCTGATCGGTTTGGGTTTCCCTCTCGTGAGTCGCGCCATCGTTCCCGCTCGATGGTGTGTGTCAAACATGACTAAACGGATTTCTTTGTGTCTGTTTGCAGTACAACGCTTTCTTGCCTTATATCCAGGCTAGCAAGGGTGTTGAATTCGGTGACGGTTCGACGTGAGTATCATAACCGTTTGCTCCCGATGGCTTGATCCGATACTGATCTTGTATCTTTGCCCCGCCCGACAGCAATACTACCTACCTCTACACTGTATACATCGCCCTCTGTGGTATCCCCGGTGCCTGTGTCGGAGCCTTCCTCGTCGAGCTCCCCCGTCTCGGCCGAAAGGGAGCCCTCGCCTTGTCGACCTTCATGACGGGTGCATTCCTGGTCGGATCGACGTTCTCGAACAGCTCCAAGGATCTTCTCGCATGGAACTGCGCGTACACCTTCTCACAAAACATCATGTACGCCGTCCTCTACGCTAGCACCCCGGAGACTTTCCCCACGCTGCACCGGGGGACCGGGAACGCCCTCGTCGGGACGGCCAACAGGATCATGGGGATCCTCGCGCCCGTCATCGCCATGGTCGCCGGTCTCGAACAGTCTTCTCCCATCGTCTACACGGCGGCTGGATTGTTCGGGCTGGCATCGATCATCACCCTCTTCCTGCCTTTCGAGACTCGAGGCAAGATGAGCATGTAAAAACATACCTGCACACCACACCGCATCAACCCATCACCAGGACCCCCTTCCGCGCCTCTCTTTTAGGGATCACGACCTTTCTGCCGACTCTTTGACGACTCTTTTTCAATAGCAACTTCTCTTCTCGCTCTGATCTTTTTTTGAGGTCCCGGACTTCTTGGTGGAGGATCCACCCAGGCTAGCTCTTCAAGGTGACCGCTATCGCCTTGCACATCACTGTAGCTTCTCGTAGACATATATACAACAGCACCATCTAGATGTAGCATACTAGCGACATGCAATATCAGATATCATCCTTGCATGCAAACGACGTTTCGCCGCAGGCTCTCTTCGTCACCAGATCTCACTTCGTAAGGGCCATGTTGGCGAAAGCTGCGGAATTTACATCCGGGACGCATCTGCCGTAATAAAATACATCCGATGTGAACTGTTCACGCTTCCATTGCGCTTAAGCGATCAATTCCATCAACGCATCAACAGAGATGAGGCTATAAATTCAAGACGTCTCGCCTCCTCTCTTCTCGAGCTTCTCGACTCCTTAACTTCGAGTTCTTCATCCTCTTCCCTCTTCAGTCGAGTCACCGTTCATATAAACTCATAGACACCCCCTCAACCTCGTCTCATAAAGGCAAGTGCAAGTCGAAACGTCGTGGCGAATTATCATCATCGTTGTCATTCCGATCCTGACCGACTGACTTTTGGATCATTGCGACTTGGCAGACTCGACCTTCCTTTCCTCTGTTTCTACATAGCCTCGTCGGCAGTTCGACCTTGATCCCGACCTCCTCAACCTCTCCTCATCTCGTCTTGAACAACGTCGTCACCAAACAGTCGCTACTATCCGCTCATCCTTCGTTCGGACTGATCAACGCCATCAAAGAATCGCAAAGGACCCCTATCACTACAACACCTCGACCTACCAAGACGACAAGCATGTCGATTCCTAATCCACCTTCCCCCTCTCGGTCCCTCCGACGTGATCCCCGGTCTATCGACCTTGATCTCGATATCATCCGCCCTACGACCCCGGAGATGGACAGTCGGTTTGTCATCCACGACCCTAATTCTCCTTGTATGATCGCCCTCCCTTCTACCCCGAGCAGGACGACGATCCCTATCAAACCGAGCTTGGGGGAGCTGCATTCCTCGCCTTCTGGTGCTACCGATAACAATCTCAAGAACGATACCAACAATCAACCCGGCTCGCCTCCTTTCGATCAGAATCACAATCGTTCCGAATACCCTTACCAACATGGTAGACAAACCAGCACGGGGTCGTACTCCCTCAAGAAACCCAACCATAGTTTTTACGATGGCACCAAGTCGGTCACTTCCTCGACGACCGCTTTCGATTCGGGAATGTTGCATGGGACTTCGTCCGAGAGCTACTTGATCATCGACCCTAGGAAGGATCCTCGACTCTTTTCCCAGTTCAACAAGGCTAAAGGAGGAGGGAAAGATGGCTCGACCACCGGGACCACCGGGCATGGACATGGAGATGCTATGGACGAAGCACATGGGGCTGGGGCCGGGAAGAGGAAGCGCGTGGACTTTAACAAGCCGCTCAAGTTCTGGTTGATCTTCGTCTCGCTCTGTTTCTCCTGCTTGCTCTCCGCTCTGGATTTGGTGAGTCCTCTCATCAGAATATCCTCGTCCCGCTTCCTTCCTTTTTTTCTCGGCGCATCTCTTCACGTACTGACATGCGTTCTTTCCGTCTGTTTCTGGCACGACAGACCGCCATCTCCACCGCTCTCCCCGATATCATCAACGACCTCCAGGGGGAAGACTATATTTGGGTCGGATCGGCCTACGCGTTGACCTCGACGGCTTTTCTTCCATTCTGCGGGTCCATGGCTAATATCCTCGGTCGTAAGTGCTCGCCATCCCTTCCCTCTTCATACACCTGCATAGCACGGACCGGGACTGATGCTATCTTACAACGAACTTGAATTGATCGCGTGTCGGGGACTGGGCAGGCCGAAGCACGATGATGCTCTCCCTCGTCATGTTCATGCTCGGCTCCGGTCTGTGTGGAGGGGCGAGGTACGTGAGCTCGATGGACATGTTGATCGCCGCGAGGGCCGTGCAGGGGATGGGCGGTGGTGGGATCATCGCGATGACCGAAATCAGTGAGTCGCCATGTATCTCACTTGTCATCAGGCCGGCGACATGGGGACTGATGATGCACCACACCGCACATTTTGCTCGATACTAGTCGTCGCCGACATGCTGCCCCTATCAGAACGAGGCGTATTCTCTGGTATCATCGGTTGCGTCTGGGCTTTCGCCAGTGCCATCGGCCCGCTGATCGGAGGTGCCCTAGCTCAAGAATGGCAATGGCTCTTTTTCATCAACCTTCCTCTCGGTCTCTTTGCCCTCGGTCTCGTCTGGGCGTTCTTGGACATCAAATCACCCAAGGACGACCTGAAGACGAGGTTGAGGCAGATGGACATCATCGGGAACGTCTTGATCATCGGAGGGACGACTGCGGTCATCTTGGGGATCGTCTGGGGTGGAGCGCATCATCCTTGGGGCGCTTACCAGGTTTACGTACCGTAAGTCTACCCGCGCGGGGTCATTTCTCTACCCTCTCTACCCTTCACAAGCAAAAGCCGCTGACCGCCTCTATCTGACCGTAACAGCTTGGCTGTTGGTATTATCGCCACTTTCGGCGCTGTCTTGTACGATTTCCGATGGGCCGTCGATCCTACCGTGAGTCACTACCTCGAGAACGCGCTTTTGAGGATCTGAAACCGACGCGACTTTGAAACGCAGATCCCTTTCACCATCATCAACAACCGGACCTCGATCTCAGGTTACATCCAGACCTTTTTCCGTGAGTTCAAACCACAGGCTACAGGGATTTAGGCCCCTAAGAGGCTTACTGACCTGAGGTTGAGGTCGCTCAGACGGAATTGTGACGATCATCATCATCTATTATCTCCCGGTGTGAGTTTCACCTTCGGTCCAGGACGGTTCTAAATACTTCGCGCTAAGATCTCGTTGTTTCACCTCTGCAGCTACTTCCAAGCGATCCAAGGATCGAGCCCCGTCAGGTCTAGCGTGCAGACCTTCCCGCTCTCCTTGACCATCGCCCCGTTGGCCATCATGACCGGTGCCGCTGTCGCCATCATCGGAAAGTACAACTGGTCGAACTGGGCTGGATGGGTGATGATGACCACCGGAGTCGGCTTGTTGGCGCTGCTCAAGGTGAGCTCCTAATACCTTTTACATTTATGCAGCCTGCATCGATAACTGAGGATCGATTCTTATTGTGCCGACGCAGGAAGGCAGCTCGGTTCATATGTGGGCTGGGTTCCAGGCCATCGCGGGAATTGGCGCTGGAATGCTCTATTCGGGGCTCAATTTCCCCATCCTTGCGCCAACTCCACCCGATCTCAACGCTCCCGCCCTCGCGTTCTTGACTTTTGCGAGGAGTTATGGACAGGTCTTTGGGGTTACTATCGGAGGTAGTGTGATGAACAATCAGGCAAGTCGCTCTTTCCAAGAGGCGTCCAGGTTGTTGATAGCTGACAAGCACTGGATCTGACACTGCAGCTCAAAAAGAAGCTGCCTGTCGCGTTTGGCGCTCAATTCGGTTCCGCCCCCGATCTGTGAGGACGATCGTCGTCGAACGCTGGTGGCAAATCTGCTGAACCCGTCTCTGAACATGCACAGCGCCTACGCGGCCATCCCGGTCCTTCACACCCTCTCCGAACCCATGAAGACCGACGTGATCCACGCGTTTGTCGTCTCGCTCCGACTCGTCTGGCTCGTCGCCATCCCGCTCTCGGCCGTCGGTTTGCTCGCCAACTTTTTCTGCAAAGAGATCCCCATGCACAAGCACGTCGACGAAAAGTGGGGTCTCGCCGAACAAGCCAAGGCTGAGAACGATCAAGAGATGGGCAACGTCCCGCCGACTCCCATCGTTCCCATCCTCAAGTCGTCGCCCTCGACCGGAGCTTCGGTCGGGTTGGCCTACTAAATCGAGGGCTAGTATCTCGTACTCATCGCCTGTGTGCGATTATGGACTTCTTTCTCTTGTCGTAGTCCGTGAATCTGGTCGTGGAGATATATAGAAGCCTGCTTTTCATGTCCCTTGTTTTGGTCGTCGGGCAACCTTTAGTCATATATGATCGTTTCGAGTCCATCCTTTCACCGATCAGTGGACGTCTGTCTCTCCCTCTCTCTCTATCAGCAAATATAATTCGCACGAGTTCAGACTTTGACCTTCGGCACTTCCATAAAACATTCGATCGATCGTGAGACAATCATACAGACATCGTAAACCACACCACACCTCGCCCGTCTGCCTTCTACCTTCTACTGCTTCTGAGGCCCGTACCCCCGGAGTCCCTCGGCAAACTTCCACTCGGTTTGGTTCTCCCGACTGGCAGAGATATCGATCCCAGCATCGGTGATGGTGGCGATTTGGTACTGCGAGAGAGACGCGAGGTGGTCAGTTTTAGCATGCAACCACCTCGAGAGACACCCCCCAGACCGACCTTGTTCAGACTCCTCGCGTCCCGGTAGAACAAGACCTTCATACAGTTGTCCAGCACCGCCTCGGCTTCTTCGCGTGACAACAACAACCCTTCCTTTTCCCCCCGCTTCCCGGCGGCTTCCCGTTCCTCGTAAGCTTCCCTCAACAGAGGCTGGGCGAAATGAGAGGCGAACCCAGTAGCCAAGGTCGGCGCTTGATAAGTCGTCCCCAGGAGATCTATGTATCCGAGGAAACTGGCGAGCGAGCATGTCCACGTTCTGAAGGTCAGCGACATGATCTCTCTTTCCCTGCGCCAACCCGGAGTATCAAGACCAAAACCGCCTCACCTCTTGCCGTCCTTGACCCCACCCAGAACGATAGCGTTCCAAAGCGGGTTCATCTTGCTCCTCCTCGCGTACATTACGTTGCTCAAGTATTCGTAGATCTGTTCGGGGGCCAGGGCCGGGTGGGCGTCGGTGGTGGATTGGGCGCGTTCTTTGGTGCTACCGTGCGGCAAGGGGATGAGGTGACATGAAGAGAGATGTTAGCGATCAGACGTCATGGCTGTATTCGAGAGCAGATCGATGCGAGGTCGTGATTCTTGCGCGAGGGGAAACGTGGGAAATGACACGAAATCACGAGGAACCAATCTCGCCGCACGTTCCCTTGGTCGAGCGAAGCTGGGATGACCCATCTCTCAAGTCGCCAGCCGCTTCGCTTTTCGCAAATCCACCTAGTCCGAACCCGTATAGTGCTCGCCTGCGAACAAAGCGCTCGATCCCTAAACCCTGTTTAGTTCTGTGCCTCGTTCGGTAGGATTCGACCGGGCCAGGTAATTCCTTCCCGTGCTCGACTTGATCGTCTTGTCCGTTCGATAGCGAGTCTTTCTCCATCCAGATCTTCGAGCCAACAAAACAAGGCAGACGGGATTTCCTCTGAACACCAATACGTTTCCCCTCAGACTATACCCCTCTGTTTTCGCACGGACTGATAGCCTGCTTCGATAGCCTTTTTGTGTTCCCGACCGGCCGTGTCGTGTCGAACTCGAACATCCACCCCGACTCCCGATTTCCCACAGCGCCACCCCCGTCAACCCAAACATCCGCCAACCACCGACGCGCCCAAATGGTACCCGAACCACCCTGCACCATCGACCGAACCCGAACCACCCCGCACTATCGACCAAACCCGTGTCACCCCGAAAAGAGAGAAAACAAACCGAAAACAGGCTGTCAAGATGAAAGGGGAAAAAAGAGCTACTCACACGACCCCCTCCAAGATCTTCTTCAAGTACTGGAAATCCGACATGTCCCCGGCCACCGCCAAACACGTATGACTCGACCTCGATTGGGCCTTCTTCTCGTCCTTCTTCTCGTCCTTGGGGTCCTTCTCTTTGCTCTCCTTGTCGGCCATGACCTCGCTCTCGGTCTTGGCCGAGTTTGAGGGGTTAGGAGCGGACTCGGATAAGACCCCCGCACCCGCAGTCGACTGGCTGGTCTGACCCGGATGAGCCGCCGAAGACGAATAAAGAGGGTATAGACGCTGGATATCTTTGAACCGGGCTAGGGAGCCGTAAGAGGCTGTTTTTCCCTCGTCGAGTTTTAGTTCAGTGTATTTAGTTGTCGATGAGCGGGTTGATTTTTTCCCCGGGTTGTCATTCGAAAGAGGGGGGTGCCGGTGGAACGAGGGTCGTCGGTGAAAGCCACAGTCGGTAGAAGGAGGGTTGATTGAAGGGGGTCCCGAATAGGAGAGAGAGAGATCAGAAATGGGTGAAAAGGAATATCGATAGAAAAGACCGGTAATGAAGCAGAAAAAGAAAAGGGGTCATCGGTGTTATGATATGAGGGATTAGAAGAAGAATGAAATGGAGTTTGGTTTAGCCATCCCTGATCTAACCCAATCCAATCCAATCCGATCCGATCGAGTTGAATCGAATCCGATCGAGAACCGACTTGGATCGGACAACCAAAACAACAGATCGCTCAGAACTCACCCAGGTTGTCAGCGGCGAGCATGATCCCATCGGCGTATTTGAGCCCTAAGACGGATGTCCCGGTGACGAGCGGTTGTCTGAAGTGTGAATGTAAATAATGTGTTTTTCGATGTTCGATAGGATGTGATTTTCGATTTTCGGTATGGTGTGATTCGATTTTCGATGTGTTTCGATGTTCGATAGGATGTGATGTGGTGAGGTGTGGTGTGATTTGGGGTGTTGTGTGGTGTGGTGTGGTGTGATGGGTAGGTAGAGAGGAGAAGAGAGGATAGGATAGGATGGGATGTGAGCAGGTAAAAGATGGAAATGGAACAAAATGGCACGGTAGGGTGGATCAGCCGACCGGACGACGATAATATAACCATCACACGCAACACACCACCGACACCGATACCAACACCAACACGATGCGACTCACTGAGTAACCTGTTTCTCACCACCCATCCCACCGTTGAGGAAATCTCTCCCTGCCTGACCCACGTCATACCCATACCCATATTCCCCTGATGACGATCTCGAGTAGAAGTGACCGTGACCGTGCGAGTTGTACATGTCGAATGATTGTTGAGGGGTTAAGACTTGACCCCATGCGGACGGGTGCTACGGTATGTATGTGATTGGGGTATAAGTTTCGGCCGAGGTGAGGTGGGGTCGAGGTAGGTGGAAGAGGGGGTGAGAGGTGATGACGAAGTGTCAGTCTCGCCCGGTGATAGGTGAACAAGGGAACTTGATTCAGAGCTGGGAGAAGAGCTTACGTGGTTCATATTGGAAAGAGTCTGGTCTTATATTTGATTCGAGTAGGGTAGGTGTGGAAGGTGGTCGTGAAGAGAGAGAGAGAGGGGAGGAGTCGATCGTCTCGTATGCTCGAGTGTCGTTCCCCTTTGGATCTGGTGGTGAACGACACTCAGTCGTCACCCAACTACTACTAGGGGGATCTCGGAGCCGAGACAAGCTAGCGTGATGATTTTAGGTAATCTGGGTCTGAATCGCTTACCTAATCACAATTCAATCCCCTTACGTCACGTGACCCAGCGCTCACGTCTGACTTTCACGTGACCTCACCCTCTTCCTAGCAAATTCTACCCTCCTCCTCCCGAGTATAAACACTCTACAACTCTCACACCCTTACGTATCACTCCTCTTCTTCTTCTCCTTCCTTCCTTTCTCCTCTCAGGGAACGCTCGCAAAGGATCGTCTAATCGCAGCTCACAAGACACACACTTTCCTTTTGGTCGTTTGGACCGCCTTGTGCCTTGGGCTTTGCACCTTATACTTGAGCCTTTTTTCCGGCGGGCTCGACCACGACAATGACAGTGACGGACGACGATGATGATGACGCCATTCGGGATATCATGAAGCTCTGGGTTCGTTCGTAGCGGGAGGACCGCGGCGGATACGTCCTTTCAAGGCAACGAGCGCGAGAACGATGTAGGAGTTGAGGATGAGGACGAGGCGATCGCGGGTGACTCGGGGAACGACGGAAAGATAAACAAGGCGGAAGTCTGGGTGTGGGTAGTACTCGGGTATCGGTGTGTCCGGACCCAAAGGAAAAGAATTTTGCAGGTCCTCCTGCAGGTCGGGTCGCGTCGAGTTGACGAGGACTTCCAAGGAGGATGCGGGATCGGATGATGGACGAGGGCGAGGGCGAGAAACAGGACGAGTGAGAATTGGGGTTCTTTGGATAGTCGGGTTACACGCTGAAAAGGCTCGCGGACGAAATCGGGACCCCTGGTGGACCGGAATCAAACGAAACACTGCAACTACGGTCTCCCAGGCGCACACCTTTTCGTCCCCCCCTTTCGTCCAACGCGACTGTCCATTCCCCAACTCCCTCCTCTCGCTTTGCGTCTTCTTGATCCCCCCTTCGGCATCGCAAACATTCTCGTCCCCACTCGATCGACACGGCTCTGCTTCCGGTTCGGACCCCCCTTACTATCTCCCCTTACCCTTGTTCTGCTTGTTCCTTCGTTCATCTCGTTCGTCTCGTTCGTCTTCGTCTCGTCCCCCTCATCTCATCACAACTTCACCCCACTTCGACGAAGCTTTATCTGGAAGGACGTACCAGCCCCCTCCGATCTCGGCAGATCCAATTCTTGTCATCCTCGGCATCCTCGGCATCATCAGCGTCGGTCATCGCTCATCATCGTCGAACCCAAAAAAAAAAACTCAATTCAACGGGTCAAGGTCAAGGCGAGGCAGGGTGGTCCGACGCACCGAAAGGAACCGCTAGTCATTCAAAATCGCTGTGGGAGAAAGTCCCCGGAGCAACTTTTTTTACTTTTACTTCTTCTTTTCTTTTGGGAGGGGGGTTTTCTTTTTCGGATCGGGTTGGGTTCTGGTTGCGCTTGAGCTTTGGCTTTGGTTTTGGTTTGGTTTGGGAATCCGTTTGCGGCGTTTCGGGGGGGCTTTGGGCCGCGCCGCACTATCACACTCGACACTATACTATACTACACGTTTCACCCTCCTCGACCTGCAATGCAACTCCGACCTCAACCTCGACCACTTATCGACCTTTCACCAAATCGACCACGGGAGATATGATCACACATACGGCGAAGACGTCCTCACAAACCGAGCCACCCCAAAATTTACCCTCCCTCACCTCACATATTGTATCGATCTCTCGTCCCCCGGTTTTATTATCGGAGCGGACTTCTGGTCGGTATTTTATATGGGGGCACGATGGGATGGGTCCGGTACGGTCTGCTTTTTTTCGCGATTCTTTATCAAAAGGAAAGAGGGGAAAAAAGTCGGTCCTTTAAGGGGACGGGCCGAGAGGGCCTTCCGCACACAAAAAAATCTTTACTGGGAATCGCTTGGTTTTTGTTAGCCGAGGTGTTCTTGGGGGGGTTTGGCGGCTTTTTTTTTTTTTTTTTTTTTTTTTTTGAGGGATTGCGAGATGAGATGGAATGAGATGAGGCCGGAGGTCGAGGTCGAGGTCGAGGTCGAGGTCTTGAGAGAGTCGATGACTGTCGGTTGGTGTGCCTGGGTTCGAGGTGTCTGTGGGTGTATCGCGGGAAGGGGACGAGTTTGGGAATCGGGATCAGCATCATCGGAGCAACAAACGGGAAGGACGGGAGTCTAGCGGACGGTCCTTGACCTCTTCTTTTGTTTCGTTCTCGGTTCTCGGGCGTCGGATTACGTAGATGGGAGCTCTTTATCACCACGCCGCCTATAACGCCGGATCACGATATCCGATCCTCAAATCCTCGTTCGACATTGTTCGCTCGGTACTTCGGCAAATCCGAACTTGGCCCCTCTTCGGACCACCCTCTGTCGCCCTCGATTCCTTGACCGACCTACCGGCTTTCTCGGAAGTTGGGTACGAGCCGTCTTTTTTGTTTGTGAGGCGCGTTCTATCTTGCCTTCCGGAAGACGGCGCGGGAGGTCATGGTGTCGGGCGGCACTTTTGAAACGTTTTTACAGAGGCGTGGGTCGGAGGTGTGTGTGCCGAGGGAGGTAGTCGTCGGAAAACCGGGTCGGTCGGATGAACTTGGGGGGAAGACATGGCATGGCATATGGCGGTGGATAGAGGGGTTTTTCCTAACTTGTGGGCCCGGTCGGGAGTCAGGGTCGGAAAAAGGGGGTCGGGGTCGGGGTCGTCCCCACTTCCTTCTTCTTTTTCTTCTTGTCGTGGTATGATGGCTTAACTGAACTCGGATCGCCCGGAACGGAACCCGCGAAAACACGAAAGAGAGCCGTGGGAAAAGTACAAATCAAACCAAACCAAAAACCGAAAGCTAAAGCGAAAGAAAAAGCCCGACGACGAGCAAAGAAACCCCCTCACCGACAAGAATGAAGAAGAAGAGTAATCACGCTCATAGCAAAACAGTCATACGATCGGACCCTATCACTAAACCTCTCGTCCGTAATGGGGAGAGGGGGGTTTAACACGACGGGGCTTATTCTTGCGCGTTCCCTTCGACATTGGGTATTCGAAATTTGGCCGTTGTTTGGTCGCATCTATTCGAGTTGAATTTTGGGAGTTGAATTTGGGAGTTGGAAGTAGGGAGTTAAATTTGGGAGTCGGAAATCGAAGTGTTGGCGACGGTTTGGTACTGGTCGTCGACTCTGAGGCCATGAGAGAAGAGTTTTGTGCGAGGGCCAGCGGATGGTGGTACGGAGCAGGGGAATGCGATCGGGACTCCAAGGATCGAGGTGAGTGTCTCCTCCGCATGACTCTCCGCCGTGTCCTCGTATATGCGAGAGTGTGATGCGATGGACGTTCGGAGACTGATGACGATTTCCTTTCCAGATCATCATCTACTACACATATTCGAAACACTTTCTTTTAATACCCCTATACCTCCTTGTGGATCTTGATCTTGGGTCTGTTTCCCGATCGGTACCCCCCTGTTTCCTACACTCTGCTATCCACGGCTCTCGTACGACCTTGTCGACCTCGGTCTCGGCAACGATCACCTTCACCATCCCCGACTTGAAATCTGACAACGAACCGACAGCCGACGAACGACGACTACTCGAGAGGATGACCCCTATGATGTACACCCTGAATTTCTTCATCGCGAGCAAGTGCGGGCACATACAAACCCCTTTGCGGATGAGGCGACAATACTCATCTTTGACAAACTTTTGACTGAGGGGTCATTCACGTCTCGCGGGATTTTCGTCGTTCGTCGGGGGAGGAGGTGCTTGTACGCAATTATCATCTATGTAGTGTGGACATGATCACCATGCAAGGACACGTTCCGATACACCGATAGTGCTGTCAACGTTCGGTCGTCGATAGATCCCCTTGGCATACTGCATACATGGCTGATTGATAAGCCTTCGATGGATCCATTTTTTGCTTCCGCCCGACTGTTGCCGGAGCCGAAAAGGGAGAGTTGGCAAGCGTTCAATCCTCGATCGATTTGAATATGCTCAACGTCGAGAGAGATCGATGACGGACATCTTTCGATCGTACTCTTCCTTGTACATCGTATACACTCGACACTCACAATCCTTCCATACCATACGGGTAGCATGCAAAATCTAGAATAGTAGTCGGGTCGTCATGATCAGCTCTCACCCACCACCTCAACCTCAACCTCGACCACAACCTCAACTCTCCCCGCGGTCCGGCAAGGCCCCCTCCGCCACGACTACCAACACGACGACGATGGGGTTACACGGGCATCGACATCATCCTACGGCCTCGTCGTCTTCTTCTTCTACTACTACTATTTTTAATCATAATCATAATCATACGGGATCGGGTACGGTCCACTCCCATTCGTCTTTGACGAATAAGGGGAATATCAGTAGCAGTAATCATGGGAATGCGAACGGGACGGGGAGTGGGAACGGGAGTGGGAGTGGGAATGGGAACGGGAGTGGGACGGGAAATCATAACGTGTTGAAACGAGGGGACGCTTGTCTGTTTTGTAGGAAGAGAAAGTTGAAGTGCGATGCTGGTGAGTCTATTCGTCTTTGTTCTTTCGGCTTGGTCTTCTTTGAGATGGACAGGGTGGAGAGGTGGAGAGGTGGGGAAAGAGGTGAGGAGCGAGGGCAGAGAGGGAGGGATAGGGGGTGTCGACCTGGAAGGTCGAAATCGAGACCGAGACCGAGATCGAAGTCGAGTCGAGTCGAGTCGGATATGGATATCGAGCTTCAGATGTAGAGGTGCGAGGTGCAGATCGATCGAGAGGGAGATGCAGACTTAGAGGTCGAGATGGAGTAGGAGATCGCACGAGGAAGAACCTACCAATACGATAACGAAAACGAACACGACGATTCCATAACCACGGTCAGGAGATCAAATTCTTCATTATTCGTATGTCCTACGAATAATGAAAGATCGACCGATCGGCGGGAACGAGACACGATCGCACGGTCACACGGTCACACGGTCGGTTGGGTTCGAGATTGAACGGGGACGGAATCTACTTTACTGCTATACCGATCCAAATATATTGTTATACGGACACTGATACTGACGATCTCCTCTCTCCCCTCTCTTCGCCCGTCTACATTCTTATCTCCTATGTCGATCCGAACAACACCACTCAAACGCCTCAGTGAAACCTCGCTGTGGACAATGCACGCGCTTGAAGAAATCTCCTTGCGAGTACGATCATTCGTGTGATGACAATAATACTCATAATGGATCCAAGAGACCTCAATCTCAATCTCAGTCGCAAGGAAATGGAACCAAGGCTGCCAGACAAGCTTTTGGGTCTGGGTCTGGGTCGGGGTCTTCAGGCTCGTCCCAGTCACAATCTCAAAGTCGAGCTCGCGCTGCTGGGAAGACCGAAACCCGAGGTCCAGGTCCGAACTCGAACTCTCAGGGGGCGAACGGGACCGGGCCCGTCGTCGGGATGGATCTGGATCGCGATCTGGGCACGGGCATGGATCTAGATATGGGTTTGGAGATGGATATGGGCCGTCAGAGGAACGTCAACGATAACATCAATAATCAAAATATCCTCGATTATGGCTTCATTTCGGCTACCTCGACTACCACTTCCATGTCTGCGGGTACGGGTGCGGGTGCGCATGCATTAGAAGCTGGTGGTGGTGCGATAGGACCTTTGGCGAACGGGAACAGGGATAACGCTGAGAACGGGAATGGGAGCGAGAACAGGAACATTCTCCCGGACCTGGCCTTGTCGCCTAATTCGTACGAGGCGTTGACGAGCTTGTTACAGAGCATGAACGGGGTCGATCAGAACAACAACCTTGACGCCGGGCTGGGTCTTTCAACGTCGTCGACGCAAAACCAGATGCAGATGCAAATGCAAATGCCGTTGCAAGCACAGATGGGGATTGGACCCGGGATGCAAATGTCCACGGGATTGACACCGATGCCGAACCTCTCTACGCTCAATTCGCTCAGTTTCCCGTTCGATTTGCTCACCACGTCGACGTTTGGTGGTCCGGATCTCGATCTTTCGTACGCCGCACTCGGGAATCAGGCGGATTTCGTCGCCAACAACAACAACAACAACAACGTCAATGCCAATGTCGACGCCAGACCGAACGGCATGCTCGGAGAGACGAGATCGAACTCGGCCTGTGACCCCATCGTGGTGACGGACCTGGGGAAACCATGGTTCTTCGAGAAACAGCCTTTGAAGCTATTGAATGATGGATCCGATCGATTCGGCGATTACGATGCCGAGACGCAAGGTGGAGGATCGTTTACTCCGTCCGGATTCGAGCTGGTCATGGATCAAGCTCAGGCGATGGTCGACGACGACCTTGTCAGGAGGAGGCGAAGCGATACGGGTGGGAACACCGGTGGCAACAGCTCGATGGACGCTTTCCGATTGCCCACTTCGTTCCGCCCCGGATCGGATCCGACGAGCGGGTCTGCTTCGGCCTCTGGCTCGGGTTCTGGCGCGGGATCGGCTGTCCCCTCCCCCGGATCGGTCATCAACCTCTCTTCCCTCTCCCCGGGTGCGGCGGGTCAGACGACAACGTTGACTACGGCCCCGACGGCGGAAGAGATCCCTGCCATCTTTAGGGAGAGACTGTTGGGTTCGTTTATGAAGCAGGGGAGGCGGTTCGGGTTGATCTACCATTGGCCGACGTTTTGGGAACGGATGAGAGGGGAAGAGCACCTCAGGCCTCATCCGGCTTGGGTCAACGCCATGGTGAGCTGAGTGCCTCGCCTTGACGTCGTTGGCCATCATCCACTGACCCGCTCGTCCATATCGTCGAATGGTGTCGCCTGGCAGTATGCTATCGGTGCCCGGGGATCAGAGGATCCGGCTTTGCGCAAGATGGAGAAACATTTCGCCCAGCTCGCCGAGGAGCACTTCAATTCGGGCTTGTTGGCGTACAGTCGGATCACGGATCTCGTTCGGGGAGCGACGTGTCTGGGGATGTACAATTACTGGACGGCACAGTATCACAAGGTCAGTTTCGTGGGCAAAGGTCGGTATGGACTGACAATCGAGGCTGACGGTTGGTGTTTGTCACGTCTCTGCGCGCAGGCGTGGGACATGTCAGGTCGAGCGAGTCGGTGAGTGGTCGGTCGAGTACCAACCCAGCAGTGACATCGAGCTGACCACGACCCACAACGACAGACTCGCCGTCAGTAGCGGTCTCCATCAGATCCCGACGGGATCGTTGTCCAAGCTCAGGCGGACGCGGTTGACGGCCAAGCACGAGGAAGAACCTTGGATTAGGCGGACGACGACGTTCAGCTTGCCTCCGCCCAATAGCGAGATCGAGTTGGCCGAACGTATCCACGCCTTGTGAGTCGCCCACGTGTGGATCTGCGAGACCTCATTCAGAGCCAAGCTCAGCATGTCTGCGTCGGTCTGCCGGCAGTTGGCAAGTCTTTGTGGTCGACCGAGCTGGGTCGGTCGCGACGCAGTGGAACACTGTGATAGAGCACGACAAGATCACGACGCCGTGGCCGTTACCTTTCGAAGAGTACCTCAATGTCAGTCGACCGTTATATGGTGTGTGGACTTGGGATCTGTAGGCTCACTTGACATGGCTTGGCAGGACAAGAACGTACCCGTCAAGGACGAGCGGATGGAAGATCTGACTAGCGGACGGATGGATCCGACACCTCGAAGTACAACTTATCAGTGAGTCAAAGGTGATGGACGCACATCGGCCGAGTTGAAGCTGATCGGAAAAGCCTTTCGGCTTGCAGGAATCTGTTGACGCAATCGGCAAGTGGCTCTGTACTCTCCCCCAGGGCGATCCAAAGCTAACCTTTGATTACCTCGCAGGTGGTCCTGATCGAACGCTGTGCGGCCTTGCTATCCATGCCACCCGAAACGACCGACATGTTCGGCCAGACCATCGATACCTCTCGTCAATCAGCTCACGATCGATATCTCGCCGAGATTTCCTCCGCTCGTCGAGTCCCTCAGGCGCATTATCGACTCGAAAACGCGATCGACGCTTTACAAGCCAGGGTCCCCGAATCCATGCGGAATGTGGCCAGTATCGTGCCCCTTGATGGGTCGCAGTCGATGACCATGGTCAATATCGACAATTGCGCTTTGGTGAGCTTCTGTCGGCCTCGAAAGAACGTCTTGTCAGCGGAACAGCCGATAATTAATTCGAGCGCGTTGCTTTCCAGCAAACCCGACTACTCGGCGCTCAGATCTGGTTACACGACATTGACGACTGGCAATTCGACAATTCACGAGCGTTGAGCATGGCCCGCAGGATGATCTCGATCACCCGTTTGATCCCCGATCACGAGTTTGCGAATTTGGATGGCTTCGTGAGTGACTGCCAGCAGGAAGCGGGAAGTTGCGCCAGCCTCGTACTCTGACAACGGTAGGACTGACGATTCCTTGATCCCATCCTGTCCGGGGGATTTGGGCTCAGATGTGCATCACGTGGACTCAAGCGGCGAGAGTTCTATTGAAGGAGCTCCGTCGATGTACCGTTAAAGGTGACTCTAAAGGTCAGTTTCGGTTGTCTCCATCAATTTTGCTGGCATGTGCGCTGTCATTAACAGGTATATAACCTCACGGCACGATTCTGTTACGCTCGACATCAGGTATAGGAGAGATGAACAGGGATCTCGACACGCTCGTCTCGATTTTCGTCAAAGCTGGTGCTGGTTCCGCTCTTGCGTGGGTCGATCTCGTTGCCGAAATATCGCGCCCGGTCCGACGCTGAAACTCGCCATCTGCATTCATCATACAGCGCTTCCCAAGTTCATCGCGTACTCCGCTGGCGCACTCTGGACATGAATCAGCCCGGCTGTAACGTGTGTTCTGACGTCGGACCTACGGGGCAGTGCTTGGCCTGTGAGGCGTCCCGAGAGGCCAAGGGAGACGAGCATGGGTGTCGCTGGGGACCTTGTGGCGACAAGTGGGGATGGGCAAAGGAGAAGGGGCTGTGATCGGGCTGCGTTAGATCCACTGTAATTCGCGGAAATCGTTTAGATATACGGTTTGACGATAACCCCAGCATGTAGGGTCTCATGTCAAGCACGGAAGCCGCAAGAACCTACCCTTGCTTGAGAGAGTCTAGGCTATTCTTACAGCATAAGCAGGCGGCGCATCCGGTTCAGAGACGTCATAGCCTGCCTTCTTCATGGTCAATGTGGGTTCAAGATATCGACCGCACAAGCGGCAATCCGGCAGTGATATTTGACACTGTGTCCTCTCTCATGGAATGGTGTCGTCGACGTTGACGAAGATCCAGTGACTTGTCTCACTGGAAGACAGACCAGACCGAGCCTTGAAGCAATCTGAACGAGGACGCCTTTGAAATGCGCATGAATATCTGGTACTGGTAGCACTTCTTTTTCCCCAACGAAATTTCATTCGTGAACCTCATCGGCGTTGTAATCGACAACGAAAGGCCTGTAACGTAACAGAATTGGTGGTAGCGAATTCGAGGAAGTGACCAGCTTCGTCCACCTGAACGAGCGATCATACAGTACAAGCGGTTGAAGCATGCGCAGGCGAAAGATCGTTGGTGACAAACGCACATACTGTACAGTATGCCGTCTTGGTCTCGGTCTTGGCCTGATTGCACGTGCTGAGTCTGGAGAGTCATCACATATCGATCTATTTCAGTCGAAGGTGGATCCCAAGGGGGGGGTTGTAACCATCCCTCCGATCACGCCGGAAACGTGAGAACAATCTCGGTTCCCACCGATCCTACCTCCAGAAGTGCTGTAATGTAATGTGGCCGACGCGAAACGGGGAACCGGGGTGTGAATTTTGTTGGAATGTTCGGAAGGTGGATCGAGCGTTGATCGCCCGGTCTACGGTATGTTGTGCCTCGAGAAAGGAAGGAATGAGTAAGGTTTCTCTTATCGCGATACTGAATTGATCGATGCGACATGGCACGGCACGGTATGGTACGAGGTGGGGGACGAGGTGTTTCGAGTTTCGAGGACTCCTTTCGCTTCGCTTCATGTCTGAGCGGCATCGCCGGGACCACGTCATGCTAGGGCCCGCATTCCTGTCCTGGAATCGCTCGCGCTCACGGTCCTACTGTACACGTCTCACACCCATGCCACTTGCCACTTGCGATCACATCCCATACCTTCGCACTCTCTCACGCCACACGGTCGACCTTGGGCGGAATGGTTCACCGTGGATTTGATTCTCTACCTCCACTCGACGTGTCCTCGAGCAGCCGGAAGGTGTACACGGATTCATTGTAGCATTGTGCTGAGGATGGCGACGCGATACCATATAGTACAGTACGGATTCGACAAGGGGCAAGCGAGTGATTGTTCAACGACAGTCTCATGGACGGCGGCCACGCTTCACCAATGTTTCGTCAGTCACCGCCACGAGGTCGGCGCGGAGCCAAGCTTTATTTAGGAGCCATTGTTTTTACCCCGAAACGTCCTGCTGACCATCATATCTGCGTCTGGGAAATATATCGTCCCGTGCCGACCGTGTCTTTTTTTTCTCCTGTCATTGGAGTTGGGTTTTCTCAAGCTGTGTTTTTGAACAGTTCAAGCCGACCCGGGGGCGGTGTGAGAGGCTGAGATGACAAAGCACCAGACGGATCGAAGATACCCGTTCTCTGCAGGTCTGATGATCGAGACCTGAGAGAAGCAGGGATACGATCTTGGACCGATCCGATAGGGGGGTATTCACGGGCCCGTGACACAATCGAATGGACCCCTCGAGAGGGAGAGAGGCGCGCGCGGGGCCGCGGGATCATTGACCATTGGAGAAATTCGATTGAGAGCCAAGGTCTAATTGACCGATCGCACCGATAGCACTCTGGGCGGTGAGAGGGGGAGGGCAGTACATCGTCATTACGAATGCGTTCAATTCGCTCCTATCTGCCCCCCACCTCCCTTGTCCGAGACCCGATGACACCGAGCCAAAACACACACAGGGCCGATCCAATACGTCCCGTGCCGCGTCTTTTCTAGGTACGACCAACCCTGAACCTTGTTTGGGGCGGGGGCCGTCAGCCGACAGCCGATGGGAAACTTCCATCCTGTCGTGAACATGGGATTGATCCCGTTTGCTCAGCCGTCTGACTCGAACAGGCGGAAAGACAAGGAGGGAGTTAACAGCCAAGACACGTTTTTTCAGCGTGGCATGATCGACGCCACACCCCTCAGCCGAGTAACAAGGTTTGGAAAAAAACGTGGGTTCCTCGTGGAAGTGTCGGGCCCGTGATCACACTCCAGGGGGAGCCGGCAGATATCTCGTGGCATGCAAGCCGAGGTGCAGAAGGAATAGATCCGTTGCGAGGGAGAGGTGAACCGTACAATCGCTGCTTCTTTCCAGGATCGGTTTCCTTCTTTCCCTCCTCCTTCTCCGTCGACGTCACAATCTCTGCTTCTCTTCTTTCCACCACCAGTCGGCAGGGTAGCAGCGGTACGAGAGGACCGGCACGTCAGACGGGCCAAGTTTAACGATGATGCGTTGCGCCCGCACTTCCGTCCAAGTTGCGGTTCAGAGAATAGGTCGGCGCATTTCCTAGATAGATGTTCTTGACTGGCCCCCCCCCCCCAATACAGCGACCCGTGTGGATACACTTGGCAGTGTATACCTCGCTTGACGACATACCTCGTCCTCCACCTCTGAAGGCCCGCCCTCCATACACACAGCACGAGGGATCAATTAAAGCCGGACGGGAGGAGACGAACCGGCTCGGGACAATCGCAACCACACCGTTCTAGAATCGTGGTCGTCGTCACATTCATACGGGGAGGAGCCGAGCAAAGTCGATATGTATACATAGACCACGTTTTCCCCCCAAGACCGAACAGCGCTTGCCTTCCCCCCCCCTTCACTTCACCTTCTGGAGCTAAACAAGTCGAGTCGACAAAACGTGGTATATATTCCGACAAGACGATCGGTACTAGCTCGCACAAGATACGGTTCATTGCGCCGAAACGAATGAATTACACTTTGGGAAGCGAGAATCCATCACAACATTCGGACTCTGACACACTCGGGCGTTCTCAGGAAAATATAGAACGACACGAGTAGGAAAAATCGCCTTAGCCCGTTTCCTCGCTTCTGAAACTCGCATCGTCAGTACCTCTTCTCTCGTTTACCTCGAACGGGGAGCCTTCCCACTAAAGGATCGTATCTAACTCGATCTGTTGTTTCCTTGCGGGATCATTCTTCTTCCCCCCCCAGAATCGAAACGAAATCTCAAGTGTCAATGGTTTTGGCCGACGCCTACCACTCGTCCTCTTTCGATTCAGACTATCCTCTCTCCCCTCCCTATTGGCACGCCGATATGGACCCGCATTCGACCGCGCCGTCGAATTTCTACCCCGGACTTGGTCCACAACAGGTTTATGCCCTCGGGCCGCAGACAAACGAGGTCGGGATCGCCGGCACGAGCGTTCAGGGATGGGTCGGTCAGCCTCAGACACCTGTGCAGATGATGGCACGCGTACAACAAGGTCAAGGTCAAGCTCAGAAGCTGTCGTCGGAAGATGTATCGTACGCGCAAGCTCGACCTGGTCAGTGCTCGATGTGCTGTAGTGTGGTAAAGAGCTAGCGCTTACTTGGGTGCATACGACAGATGGGATGATCCAGCAGACGTCTTGTTCATCGCGGCACCGCCGACCGTCCTCGTTGATTCTCGGTACTGCCAGCCAAACACCATCATCAACGGATCTCCCTCAACTGACCTCGCAGCTCGCTCTCGAGCCCACCCCTGCGCTTCCTCAGATGGGCGCTCAGTTCACCTACGCAACTTCACGAGGTTCCATCGGGAGTTCGACTAGGAACAGTCAGGGTTCTCTGTACGGCTACGACCATGCGAGCGAGGCTTCGTCTTCGATGGGAGGTCCGGCGATGCCTCGGAGCCAGAATTACGAGGCGACTACGGTAGGCGCGGTCCCCGCTTACACTTACCAGCAGTTGGTACCCCAATACCACGTCCCGTCACCTTCGAGTTCGGTCAACTGGTCAGAAACGTACGCTTCCGCTCCGTCTACGTCCTATTCGACGAGTCCTGTTTACTCCAGCGCAGGTAGGGAGTTGGTCCAGCCCGGAAGCGCGAGGTCTAGCGTACGCTATGCACAATCCATGGTAGCAGAGGCGCCTACCTGGACATACCAACCTGTACCCGTACACGTCTATCCTCCACAAGGGCCCACTTCGGCTCCAGCGCAGATGACAGAGATGGTCCCGGTCACCTCTTCTCATCCTGCATCTGCAAATCAGCATGTACCAGTACCCGCCGGGATGTACCTGGCGACGAGCGCGCCTCCGGTCCAATACATCCACGCTCCAGAGCGAGGACATGTCACACCACCCAAGGAAAGGACAGACGCCGGTCCAGGGCCAGTTCGTAATCGCGTTCGTCGCAAGGTAGCGATTGGTCGGGTTCGTTTGCCGGAGCAGGCGGTCGTGCCTCCCAATCTCACACCTACTGGCGGTGCGGAAGATCCGTGGAGACAGATGGCTCAGTCTCAGAGTCTCTCCGGCGCTTTCACGCATTCGGGCGTGTATGGAGTAGATCCGTCGATGTCTGCCGACCCTAGCAGGCCGTGGACGGGCGGAGCTGTCATACAGCCTGCGCCTATGATGCCGGCCGACTCGTTCCCGTTCGGTACGGAGGCGGCGCCCATACACAGGACGACCTCGATAGAGGGTTATTATCCTCCAGAAACTGCTACCTTGTACAACACCGGCTCGGTCTCGATCCCAGCGACCGTCGCGACGAGTCATGTCCCCTTGCCGCTGGTATCGCAGCTCCCGCCACCGTTGACTATGGCTCCCTTGACGACTGCGATCATGGGTACCTCGATGATGCAAGCTGAAACCCCGGCATCCCTCTGTCCATCGACGTTCTCTTCCGATGACGATGATCTCAACGACCACCTTTCCAGTGATCCCGCGTACGACGACTATCAGGGTGGCAAACCTTTCGCGCCTGCCGCTCACATTTCTTCTCGAAGCGGGAACCCGTCGAATCTGCAAGTCGCGACGACCAATTTCGATGGGTTCTCGAGGGTCCCGCTCGTGCGCACACAAATTTCTCGACAGCAGCTAAGAGCGGAAGAAGATCAGGAAGAGTTGCAAGATGTGCGTTCCGTCTACCCGAGTCTGGGAGTACCGCATGCGCTTTCGAGTGCAGCAGGTAGTAGTTCCACTTCTTCGGCTACCGGTTGGCCTTCAGCTGGATCGGAAGAATATGGTCGCAAGCGCATCATACAGAGAGCCGCTACGATGGGCACGCTTCCTGCTCATTTCGATCGAGCGGATTATTCGATGTTTGGTACCAAAAACAATCGACCCAAACTTGCCATCGCCTGTCAAGGCTGTCGGGAGAAGAAACTCAAGTCAGTCGACGACCCGCGTTGTCACAGCTAGAACGCACATGCTCACCGACGACTTTGACTTTGCTTGCGACAGATGCTCCGGCGAACGTCCCACCTGCATGAACTGCAAGCGACGGGGTATCGAGCACTGCGAATACGCAGAGTCCGTGCGTCGCCGTGGACCGGGAAGGAAGAAGATCGCTGCCATGGAGAAAAAGGCGAACAGTGAGGCGCGTCGACAAGCCAAGGCTCGACTACAGGCGGGAGAGGTGAAACAGGAAGACGTCGTCGGCCAGTACCTAGCTATGAAACCTGAAACGTACGACTACCAAAGGCAGCAATGAGATCGCGATCAGATTGCCTCGAGCTAAATGTATCCATATATGAGTGATAAGAAGGACAATTATGTATCGGTAGAATGCAACAATGAAAGAGATAGAATAGCATGATACTTTCTGCCTTCCTCAGAGTGAACTATCTTTTGAAATCGTTCGTTACACACGGCAAGCCGTCTTTATGATCGTTATTTTCGTTACTTCTGACTGTCGATGCCTTTGCGTGAAAAGGAGATAGACATCAAGTCCTTTGAGCTTTCGAGATCCTAAGAGATAGTGGTAGGGCGACCCGAGTTCAATTTCGCTTTGCTCCTATTGCTTGTATACGTATATTTCTCGCAAGTCAACGGCCGTGCGCCTCGATGCGAGCACTCCTTTCGACTCGATGCATCCAGCATTCATGCCAAGTAAATTTGTGAAACCAAGCAATTTGCAAGTTCGTGTTGCCATCACATCTGACATTCGCGCAAGTGATCATCCCGCCGCCATGAGAACCTATCTTCCCTTTAGCCGTCACAACCTGCCAGACTGTCCTCCATCGTTTTGCAAGCGATCTTGCTAGGCGCCGTGCTCAGTTCGGGTCTGACCTGTCTGCATTCAGCTTTGTCTTGCGCAAACTTGTGACTTGATCGGTTATTGAGCCATTCCATTCCTTCCGGCCGCTTGAAAAGCCCGACAAAGGTACAAGACGAGATTGCCGCGGATTGAATCTGTGACATGTACAATATATCTCCGAACCGAGGGTGTGCTCGGTGGCGGAACTTAGTCGAATGTCCGATTCCGGTGCCTTGGCTGTGTAACAACAGGCCGTGCTAGATGGAAAGAGCAGACGTCGATGCTGAGTCGTTTCGAATTCGGTCACGAGCAGTTGTTCCGGTGAGGTCTTGCAGACAACCTTCAGGCGTTTGCAAGCGTACCAATCGAGAATATTTCAAGAGCGAGAGAGCGGCCCAGTACGGTTTGATTTGCACTTGTACGCCCAATCACTCCAGCTTCCGGTCGTATCCAAGTCCGCGCCTGTCAGAGACGCGATGACTTCCACGATGTACTTTCTGACGTCAGATCGGACGTACTGTATCATTTTCATTAGGCGACCTTGGACTGGGTCGTCGAGAAGTTTTCGCTATTGATTCAGCCTGTGTCGCTGAGATTGGACGATGAGGGACGATCTGGACCGCCTGCATAGATCGCGCTAGCGGTAGATGCAGCTACTGCCTCTTCCCCACGCCCCAAGTTTTGCCAGATGTACCTCCAGCAATTTTGGTTAAGAAGCGAGTCCTTACCTTTCCGACATCGTCCTTGCACAGCAAGCGGGAGGCCTGGATGTGCACGCAGACAAAATCACGGTCGACAAGGTGCCAGTCAGCGCAGACTCATGTGCATGTCTTGAAGACGGGTAGAAGCAGGCCGGACAAGAGTTTAGAGTTTAGAGACAGCAGATGATGTTGTTGTCAATTATGAGAGCTATATGACAACAGCCGTGTAACTTTTGGCAATGCCGACGCATGACTATTGCCCCTCATCAGGAGCCTTGTACTTCCACTACTCCCTGTTTGTCTTGAACAAGGCCTTTTAGCAAGTTGAGTCTCATTTGATCTATGTTGTCAACTTTATCAAGCAATCCTCGAAGGAAGCTGACCTCTGTGGCTAGATCCTTAACGGTTCCTTTGACACTATCCTGGTAGATTCATAGTTGGAAGTCAGCTATGATCCCTGTGAATACACGACCCTGCTTCAGCTTTACCTATTCTAAGTAGCAAAGGTTCTCAACAAGAAGAATCAGAAAACGCTAGAAACGCCCACCGGGACGCGGTAAATTCTAGCGTTTATGCGTTTTGAAAGTCTGTCCCGGTTAAACGCGGTCCGGACCGGGGATACAAGGATGAAGGTGGACGGTGTTGCGGGATGATGACCTGTGCAGAGAGGCTGAGCGATAGTTATAGATCAGTCCTCGTCGAGTTGCAATACAACAAACATCGACGACCACCGAGGGATCATCTTGACATGTCTACCCACTTGAACCGTCTCGTCTTACGAACTTTAAGAAACACTAGTACGACCTGGCAACGACGCGCTTTGACGACCTCACGATCCGCAGCTATGCCTCTCTATATCGCCCACTTGCCCGATTACCCCAACTCGCTGGAACGTCGGTTGAGCGTCAGGCAGGGTCATCTGGAACGAGCTACCAAGGACAAGGAACAGGGTACTTCGAGTGAGTCCCTCGGTCCCGCTCAGAAATCATGATCATCTTTCTATTCCGAGCTGACTTCAACCTCGACAACGACCTCGATGTATCCTCTCACCTACCTACCTAGTCTTCGGCCGAGCTTTCATCTCCCCCGACCACGCATCAACCACCTCGAACCCCAACCCCTCCATCGACCCATCGCAGCCTCATCCGGGTATGGCAGGTAGCATCATGATCTTCCGGTTCGACACTATCGACCAAGTGTGGGCGAGGATCAAGGAGGATCTTTATTGGACGGCAGGGGTTTGGGATAAGGAGAATGCAAGGGTGGATCAGCTTTTGGGGGTACCGGGGGATGAGAGGGTGGGGGAGATTAAGCCTTGAGTGGTGAGAGGTTGAGGTTGGTTGAGGTTGGTTGGGGAGAAGAAGGAGGAGAGCGGAGTGATAAGAAAAAAGTTGTAAATCAAAGTGCCGCATATCATATCACACCATATCCGTCAGTACGATCATCATCACCCTCATCATCGTACAAGCCGTGACCGCCGAGCTACCGTGTCTGCCGTTGATCTTCGTGTTAGGCATGTACCAGAGTTTCCAGCTTGTACGCATGGAGGATGTCGGTGTGATAATCACGACCTTTACGAGAATCCGCTCCCGAATCGGTCGAGGATGGAGCGCCTTTGCTCGTGCTGCTGGAGACGAGGATACGATGGCCTGGACCTGGACGCTTCGAGGCGACCTGACTGTGTGATGCGTGACGATACGATAGAGAACGATACTCACGCCGAACTGCATGTGCCAGAATTGGATGCGCCAGAAATGGACCTACATCGAGTCCAAGACGGCCAATATCATTACCATCGATACCGAACGGATGCCTCTACTATATCTAATGTCATTAGTATGTTAAGCCCGATCTAATTTGCGCTGGCTGGCGCTGAGGCTGAGCTGTCGCTTCCCCCAGAAGAAAAAGATGGCACTGACATGTTTTCGCCGAACGGATCGACGGAAGGGGACTACAGCTCGGATCTAAGATATGGGATTTGAGTATGAACTTTTCGAGGTAGAGGTAGAGAAATGACATCGTTTCGGGAGGAGCGCGATGAGGGAATTTATCGAGGAACGCGTCTGGGAACAAGTTGAGGAACACTTCGGAAAGGCGTCTCCTCGGAAGCAGCGATCGGCTGCTCTTGAGCATTTGTCTCGAACCCGGCAAACCAGAGCCTTGGTCTTGAGCGGATTGCTTCTATCGAGCAGGTTCTCTGCTACCCTAGTTCGAGCGCCACCTCGTTTTCTTTGCAAGGACTCTGCTCTCTTTCGTCGGGATGGTTTTGCGAACCTAGGACGTGTAGGCAGATCACGAAGCTACATATATCGTAAGAGCTATCCATCTAAACTTGTGAATTTTCATATCGACTACGACAATAGGCGGACATCTTTGCTATGACAAGAATTGAGGCCGATCCTCGGGGAAATTTACGAGGAGGGGGAGGAGCTTTTCGAGGCTGCGAAGCGAGATGTCACCGAGTGACGATCCATGTGACAGTCGAAGATATTGATGCCTTTTTGTTTTGCTCTCAAATATCCATGTATTTTTGAAGTCTTGTAAAGCGTCACAGATGTATAACGATGTATAGACTATTGTTACGGGCGTCCTCGAAAATCGTCTAAGGGGTTGCTTCCGCGTATTTACTTCCGTCGCGACTACGTGGCGAGTCACAGGTTTCTAGATGCAAGCGAAGTCGGATCACGTGACTACGATGTCTCACGGTCTTTCTCGAGTTCGTGTGAAGTCGCGACACTGTACTAACGATAGTGAGTTCGTCGGTGATAGTGTAACCTCTCCTAGTACGTCTCCGTAGTATAACTAAGGTATAGGCGTATGTCGAATGTAATAACTGCGCTTGAATCGTATAGAAGTACAACAGACTCGCACGACTTCTCTACGATTCGCGCTCCGTTATATGCTAACTACGTACTCGCGTTACTCGCACCGAATCCGCTATCGTTTACCGAGTTCGCCCGACTTCGTGCTTGTCTTCTTTGTTCGAGAACAAAAGACTGTCGTCCGTCGGTCGCTCTTTCAGGCGAACAATAGACGGTCGAACACACGAAGTCGCGGTTTTCTTTTGTTGACTTCGTGCGGATCCGCTGAGTGTCGCCCGATCCGGGCCGATGACCTAAATGCGCGTCGATCCCATGCTGCCGTTCGGTCACGCCCTGTGACATCATCCCCCCCCTCTATGTTGGACGTCGCCCCGACGTCCCGGTGTCCCTTGTTTCGAGGGTGATTGTCGGTTAGGATGTCCGAGGTGTCCGCAGTCCTCGACCGGCTCCGGGGTTCGTCGTACGAATCCTCCCCTGTACGATGTGCTTTGTCGTCAAGTCGTCCGTACCTTCCTTTGATGGGTTCTGGAAGTGGCGTAGACTTCGTGCGTAACCGAGTCCATCCTGAAACGTACGACCGATGTCTCACTCGGTCGTCCAGATATCCCGCTCCTGTTCCCGCGTGAGGGTCCTTTGGCGCTAAACGAGCGGAACCAAAGTCGCGTAACCGATATCCTCTTGAAACGCGCGACCAATGTCTCACTCGCGCCTCTCCTCGTCCTGCCGTCGTCGTCCGCGCGCTAAAGGCCGTACTCGCGCGGATCCAAACGAGATTGTTTTGGTCGAGACGGTTGGGTATTGCTGGCGAAGGGTATATACTTGCAACGTCTTCGACCGAATTCCCCCCTTTCTTTCTCGTTCTCGCCTTTTCTTCAACTCCTCTCTTCAAATCGAACCTACTCGCTCGTTCTCGCACGTAACCGCACTACTCCAACCGACTCCTACCATGTCCTCGCCTGCTCCCAACACTCCTGCCGAAACCCAGGTTCCGGCCACCACCCCGGTCGTCGAGACCACCCCCGCCGCCACCGTCCCCGCCGCCAATCTCGTCGGCGAAAACTCTGGTCCTGCGGGACCGTCTCTTCCTTCGGGCGTCGACGCCCGAAACGGTACGTGTTCTGACGAAGTCTACCGGGTTCGTGTGCTCACCCTCCACTTCGTATCAGAACGACAGCTCTCCCAGGGCTTCGCCCGCCTCGGGTGGGGAAACAGCGCCGAGGAGGCGATCGAGTGTGAGTCGCGCGATTTCTCTTGACTTCGTGAGAAATCTGACGTATTCGTACGGACTCAGTCGACGACGAAACCGGGGAGTTCGTCAACGCTCCTGAGGTGCTCCCGCCACCTCTTAAGGTCAAGTCTAAGTCCTTCATTCCGAGGGTGAAGGAGGAGATCATCGAGGAGGAGGGAGGCGCTCCCGCGGCCTCGGGTAAGTTCTTTCCTCTCACACTGAATACGCACGGGTTCTCACAACTTCGTATCGCTCCCACAGGATCCGGAAGGTCCACCAGGCCGGACCTCGACCTCGGTGGCGGCTTTGGCGGGCGATCCGGTGAGTTGCGAGCTATGCGTTTCGCCCGGATCCGCGCGACTGCTGACAGATTCGTGCGCTTTTCCGCTCAGACCGCCAACGTTCGTTGTCCTTCGAGAGGGACAACAAGGAGGTCTTCTCCTTCGACGACCGCCTCACTCCCTTCGGGACGGCCGCTCCTGGCCCTCGATCCCGCGCCGCCGGTCCGGCCCGGCCTCCCGCCAACTGTGAGTATTCTTTCTTTTTCGTTCGTACATGTACCTTTCGTTCAGACTTCGTGCGACTTCGTGTTTTCAGTCGGTGTTCCAGAAGCGGAACACTTCCGTCTTCAGCGCCAGTTCGGTGACGACTCCGTCCGCCCCGCCGCTGAAGAAGGTCGGTCTGGCCCCGCCGCCGAGAACCTGGCCGCCGGGGAAACACGAGGCGGGCAAGTCGACGGGTTCTTGGGGAGCTTCCTCCCGGGTACGTATTTTTCTGCTCGTATTCGCTCCTATTCGTGCTAACCGGTCCGACTCCGCAGGCGAACCTCGATGGGACGGGGACGATCGGGTCACGACATGGGACCAGATCCGACACATCGCGGGTCGACCCGGCTGGCCAGCGTGGACCAAGCCCAAGGACGACACGTCCGATGTGAAGAGGTTCGAGCACCGGGCCCGACAGGTTAGTCTAACTTTTGCCCACTTCCGCACGAATCCTACTGACTTCGTCCGAATTCTCTCGACAGTGGAACCGATTCCGCATGGCCGACTACTGGTCCGAGAGGCCGGGCGACACCGTCCGAAACGACCCGACTTGCGCCGGATGCCATCGGAAGCGTGATGACGTGCCCTGGGCTCGGGAGTGCCGTTCGGTCGTGAAGCGCGACGGGACGAAGCAGGGTTGCGTCTGCTGCAACGCATTCGGCTCGACGTGTGAGTACGCCGGCAAGGACTCGCGCGACAACGTGGCCGACGACGACGACGACGACGACGCTCGCCCTCGAGAGGAGACTCCGCTCGAGTCCGTCCGTGGTCGCCAGGCTTCGATCGATCGCGCCGCCGCCGACGCCGCCGCCACCTTCAACGACGCCCATCGTCCTCGCGCTGGACACACTCGCGGTGCTCCTCTTCGAGGAACCCAAGCTCGGGAAGCTCTGGTTAGTACTCTTCTCTCGATTCTTCTCGTCTTCGTCGGACTTCGCTAACACCCGTACGTGTTCGTCCATAGATCTTCCAGACCGGCGTCGTCAAAGGCGCCTTGGACGAGGACCGGGTCCTCGGTCGAACGGCTCTTCAGTCGTTGTACGAGGTGATGTGCCGCCTCGTCGAAGGTCTTGCGCCGCCGCCGTCGCCTTCCGCTCGGAACCGGGCGGGATCGAAGCGAGACCGCGATCCGTCGCCGAGTTCGGGCAGGAACAAGCGTCGTCGTGGTAACCCTTGAGACGCGGGTTCGGGGCCTCTTTTTTCTTTTCTTTCTTTTTGTATTTTTATACTTTTTATGCGAGATATACCTTGTGATTCTTTCGACTTTGTCTCGTCGCTGTTCGTAGTTCAAATGAGTGTGAGTTGAGTCCGGCTCGTGTCCAATCGTCCGTAGTCACGCGCGTTCGCCCGCAAACGCGCGTACTCGGACTTAAGGCTTCGGCTTCGTGGGATTCTGCGTGTGGAACTCCTCGACCAAATCAGCGGCGAAGACGTCTTCGGCATTTTCCCACGTAGTCGCCTCCGGACCCGCGTACCCTTCCCACTCGATGCGATACTGAACCTTGCCCGCTCGTTTCCTACTATCTAGGATTGACTTGACCTCGAAAACGTCCTCGGTCTCGGGTTCGGGACCCGGATCCTGACGCCTCGCCGCGACTCCGCCTGTGCGATGCGGTTCCAAACGATCTAGGTGGAATACGTCGTGTATCTTCAGCGAAGCCGGTAACCTCACCCGCCAGGCGTGTGAGGAGATCTCTTCGATGATTTCGTAAGGCCCGAACCGCTTGTGGTCCATTTTCTTGCTTGGTCGTTTGGTGTTGATGTCTCGTGCGGATACGTAAACCATCTCCCCCACTTTGGGCGAAAAGGTCCCACTTCGCCCGGCGTTGTAGTAAATCGCA